CACCAACTTGTAAACAAGCCCTACAGTCGTTTCTCGGACTACTTGCTTTCTACGACAGATTTCTGGAGAGCAGGGCAACCATCGCCAGCTGCCTCTACGAGTTGCTCCAGAAAGGTTTTGCATGGAAATGGGAAGACAAGCACCAGAAAGCGTTTGAGCAGCTGAAGAATCTGATTCTCAAACAGACAGTACTAGCTCACTACGACGAGAAGAAGGAGCCCTTTGTTTCTTGCGACGCTTCGCCGTATGGCGTGGGAGCTGTCCTTTCTCAACACGATGACCAAGGCAGAGAGGCACCGATCGCATTTGCTTCTCGGATATAGGACCAGCAGAAAGAAATTATGCTCAGCTGGACCGAGAGGGCCTTGCGGTCGTTTTTGCAGCCCAGAAATTCCACAAGTACATTGCAGGAAGGAAAGTGACGTTCATCACAGACCATCAACCGCTGCTTGGTATACTTGGGCCAAAGAAACCGACAGCTCAAGTCCTCTCTCCCAGAATGACCAGGTGGTGCATCAAGCTGTCTACATATGACTATGACATCATCTACAGGCAGGGCAGGAAACACCTGAATGCTGGCGCATTGAGCCGACTGCCACTACCAGACAGTGATGATGAACCATGGCCACCGGGGGATATTTTAATGTTTGAAGCTCTAACAAGACCACCATTCACAGCCACAGAGATAGCTCGTCTGACACAGCAAGACAGCACTTTGCATGAACTGTACACCGCCGTTCAAAATGGCACAGTAGACAAACTCACCGGAGACGTGTTCATACCCTACCAGCAAAGAGCCGCAGCACTGGCGCTTCATCAAGAATGCCTTACCTGGGGTTCTCGAGTGATCATACCAACGTCAGCGCGTCCTCATGTACTGGCACTTATACACGCAGGCCACAGAGGCATGGTGGCTATGAAGAAATGCGCACGCAGCTACGTGTGGTGGCCAGGGCTGGATCGAGAAATCGAGGAGACTGTGCGACACTGCGGTGAATGCCAGGCCACTCAGAGGAATCCAACCAAGGCATCGATTCCCGTGTGGGAACGTCCTCAGATGCCCTGGCACACGTTACACCTGGACTTTACAGGACCAGTGCACGGCCACACATATCTTGTGGTAGTTGACGCGTACACAAAATGGGTGGAGGTACGTCATGTGCCTCATGCGACATCTGCAGCTGTCATTGATGTGCTACGAAGCCTCTTCGCCACGTTCGGCATACCGGAAAAGATTGTCTGACAACGGAAGTGCATTTGTCTCAAGCGAGATAAAGGACTTCTACACATCAAATGGAGTACAGGCTGTGACAGCAGCAGCGTACCATCCTGCGACAAATGGGCAGGCTGAGCGCTATGTCGCAGAACTCAAAAAGGCACTAATCAAAGATGCATCTGGGAGCACACAGCACCGGCTGGCCCGATATCTGTTTCGTCGGCATTCCACGGTCCACAATACAACTGGAATGACACCTGCAAAGGCAATGTTCAGCCAAGAACTACCGTGTCCCCTTGACTTGTTGAAGCCGAAAACCGAAACAGAAGCAGGGAAGTGCCAAGACACACAAGGTCAAACAGACCGCTTCTCAAAAGGGGAGAAGGTACTTATCCGCCAATTCCTGACAAAGCCAGACTGGATTCAGGGGGAAATCCTGCGCCGAATCGGCCCACGTTCCTGGCTTGTAAGATGTGCCACGGGTAACGTGCGACGTCACATAGATCACATGCGAAAGACGTCGCAGATGAACACTACACCACCACGACCGCCAGACTGGAGCACGACAGACAACCTTCTCGAGTCAAGACGACAGGAGATTGCTCTTGGAACACAAGGCGAGTCGGCAACACCATCTCAACGTCCGAGCCAGCCAGGCCAGCACCGAAGACTTCGACCGCCTGAGTCCAGACGTCCCCCAGATCGGTATATAGACTGCACCTGAGGGTGGAAGAGTTGATGTGTCAACGCTGCTGGGCTATCATCATCATCGCCACCGACCATGGGTGTGGCATTATCATCATCGCGATGACTTCGGGTGTGGCTCTAATCGGGAGCGCATACGAGGATGCGCGCTCACACGTGTGCTTGTTTTAACTGCCTACCGAACTGATCGTTTAGCTTTTATGGGTTCTTGCTTTCATTAAAACTCCGACAGCCGGCGACGGCTGCTCAGACATAACACTATTATAACTGTTTTTGTGCGGAGAATGAGCGTTTGGTGATGGTTGGTTTATTTTTGCGGTGAAAAAATCCCTGTGAATCTTAGAAAGCTAATCCTTTCATTTCATTACTGTTAGTGGTTTGAAGTTTCTGCAATGGATGACACTGCCAGTGCTTACTTCTCGGTCACACTTTCCCTTGGAATCTGCTTTCCTTGCTTGCTTAGACAACAAAATAGTTAGTTGACTCATTGCAGAGGCTACACATGCCGGACAAATGCTTCCCATGTTTTGCCTCCTCCTTCGTTTGGCTTTTAGGAGTGTATAGCCCCCGAATTGTTGGTTCTCGTCCTCGTGCAGTGCGTCTCATGTGCATTCTTCACGTAGCTGACACAGGTGCAAGCTATAGATCACATCTCTCGAAATGTGGAGAACCTGTGAAGACTCTTTGAATGCTGTGCAAGGTTTTTGAGGAGGGCGTGAACATTAGTTCTCCCAATAAGCTTCTCGCCCCGTCTGATTGGTTCGCACTTGCTGTCAAGAGCATCCCTTCCCATGCCGTAGCAGCTCGTTAGGGACAAAGGGCTGCAGTCATGTTTTGTGTGTTCAACCTTGTTAGCTGTACCCAGCGCTATAGTCGGTCCTACGAGTTGTGTGCCCTGTTGTCAAAGGCACAGGCACCAGAGCATGGCTTTGCGACAGGTGCAGCTTGTGCCGTCATTAGAACCTGTGGATATGCACTTGTGCCATTTTTCCTTCGACACTAACCAGATCTTTCGAGATGAAATATAGTGAAAGAGCTAGCAGCGAGTTTTTCCTCCAATTTCAATGTGCTAGATGGTCGGTTCAATGGGCAACCTCAACAGATGGCAATATACATGAGTAGAAAGGTTCCCCCCTCAAGTGCCTGATCATTTGTTATTCAATATGCAATTTGACGAAGAGAGCCCTTTAATTTTCGTGCTTCTGTTTTACTTTGTTCACCCCTAAGCTGACAGTGCAGTGGAAGCTGTGGGCTCTTTGGACCAGTCACACACCTGTTTTTCGTCACGTGATCACGCTCCCGCCCCATACCCATGCACAGGGGTGGGGTCAGGTGATGGAAGATGGGTGGTTAATTGGTCCGGCAAGTGCACAGCTTCCATGGCACTTCAGCTAAGAGGTGAATGGAGTATACGAGGGCCGTAAAATTCAGCCTTCCACAACTTTGTTCTTAAGTTGCAGAGAAAAATGTTAATTGTTTCTCCATTCCTTTGGTTCCAACATCTTGTGTTACGTGGGGGTTGATACTGGGAAAAATGGTGTGCACTTCGGAGTTCATATTTTAATCTGCCTCTTTTGTTTTTCAGAGCCGCACATCCTGCTGTTTCGGAGAGCAGTCACCCCAACCGAGCTGCCTTCGCAAGAAGAACAAATGCAGGCTGAGCTGTGCAGCCAATAAGCGAGCTTGACATGCAAAAGCTTTTTTTTTTTTTCTTTAATGTGTAAATAGTGTAATTTTTAGCATCTCTCCTTTGTGCTCTGTCATTTTGTTTTTATGGTACGCCCCATTTTTTTCCTTCCATTATTTGTCTTTTTTTTTTGTCTGACTGACATTTTTTAGTGTTGTACAGATTTGTGATTAAATCTTTTATCGACATGTGAAGGGGTGATGGTGTTCTTTTTATTTTTAGAGTGCCTCCCGTATAGTCAGAATTTTAGTAGGGTATGTTGTCGGGCTAGTTGGTTCACCTTGTTAAACATGTAAAATAGTGCAAAAAAGACATTGCGCTATTTTATGTTTAACTTTTTGTCTTTTTTTAACTATTTTATGTTCAACTAAGTTGGAAGTTACTTTTTCTGTGTGTTTCACCCTGCAAGCAATGTGCATTGTTATCAAGGGTGGAGGTGCGCTAGTGCGATTTGCACACTCACTTGCTCAGGAAAAGCACTATCTGGAGTTGTGCTCATGTTGATCCCTTTTGCTGCACTGCACATAATTCTTGCCAAGTATTGCTATTCTTTAAAGTAATTTTATAGCTTGAGTTTGAAAGATGTAATGATATGCCAAAATATTTCATGAACAATTTATTCACACTGGTGGTTGTTGTATTCTAAATTACGGGAAAGAGGGAAATGCCCGTGCAGAAAATAAACGGAGCCAATATTCACACTGGTACCGCTACTAGTTGGCACATTTGAGGCAGAAGTGTCATGTGCATCAAAGCAGAATCTACATCAACGAGGTCCACAACCGCCTAATAATGTTCATTACACTCGAGGTCAACATGCAATTTGACAATATAAACAACCAATGTAAAACAGGTCCCAACAAATGGTGCATGCAAGACTTGTGATCAACTTCAGCACTTGATAGCGGCTTTTGTTAAAAGCAATGGAATCCAATGAGTAGTTGTATGAACCACGGAATATGCATAATGCCCCAGTACAATATATAACACTTATGGTTGTAAAGCACACGGTAACCACTGCTGAAATGTGTGTGATATGAAAAATTGCAACAGCATCTTCAGGTGAGTTCAGAGGACTGCTCAAATAGCCGGCCCAAAAGACTTCTAGCAAAATGTGCAGCAGCGCCCTCTACGACGCTGAAAGGAATTCTGGGAACCAGCAGCGAGGACAGGGGTGCTATCCTCTCGGGAGAAGCATGCAGAAAATTCCCATAATTCATTCTTTGGAGATTCTTGCAAGTTCTCTCTCTTCTGTAATCTCAGAGTTATTCCTAAAGCTGCCAACCTCCAAAATCACAATTGTAAAAAAAAACAAAAAAAAACAACAAAAGTTTAATCTAATTGCGCATCGTTTAAGTCTGTAGCGCCACAAAGTTTGTGGCGGACGTTTCTGTCTTTCTGGATGTTTTCTCCGCACCAGTCTTTCCTTATAGCTACATGGCCACAGTAATCGCGGAGTGGCATAGGGAGGACGGGAGGACGAGGCAGGACAGTCGAAAAAAACAGTGATGGAAACCGTGGAAACAGCCAAGAGACTCAGCACACTCCGAACCAACGGCAGAACGGGCGAATTATCCTCAAAGTTAAAGCAAGTGTCATAGTGGCCGATATATGGAAAGTTTCTTGCGTGCCAAGCGAAGCACCTCGCCTCCCAGCGGCATAAGGTAATCCGTTTACTACACATCACCCGCTCCGTAGCCACTTCCCCCTTAAACTCAAGATAAAGAGACGACTTCGTCGCATCATACTATGCCCCAAGTTGCAAGCGACCAAACATGACGGCAAAGCAGTTGATATTTCCCCACACTGCTAAATGTGATCGCCGTGATGATTGGGCTCTGCGGTGCTGTTTTTATGGCATGTCATAAGTTGCGGCTAGATTACTCAAGTAGATATAAAAGCATGAAGGGCCGGGCGATAAATGAGTAGCGTTATACAGCCTTTCACAGGAGGTCCGGAGTTATGGCGCTGTAACGTCTCATATTTACTATTTAGCATAACCTGTTCGTCATACCACTTGCGCTCATACCACGCCGAGCGCATATGAAGGACTGTTTTAATGAATATCTACGTCATAGCGATCTTTATGTAATATCTTAAGGCTATGAAAAGTTTGTGCTGTTTTTTCTGATACCGCCCCAAAAGTTGGTGTTTTGCGCCATCGTTTTAAAAATTGTTTCTTAAGTATGTATTTATATATATATGAACTTTTACCATTAAGAAGAAAGCACAGCACAACAAGAAATTTTGGTGTTAATTATACAAGCCATAACAACCAGGTGGGTGATTCAAGGAGCGGCCAGGCTCTTTAAATCGACCGCAAAATTCGGTTTCTTAACCTATCGCGCTACAACTTTGTGCAACGTTGCCTACAGATGGTGCATTTTTTTTTTTTTTTTTGTAAAATTTTTGCAAAGAGGGAACCTTTTATGAGGAAAAAGTAAAGAAAGAAAAAGGCCTAACTCCTATGGAAATGCAGCGAAGCCACTAATCTTCAAACAATACGGCGCCGCTTCGCACGGGAGACAAAAGATGGCGCAAGTGGTCGCAAAGCCAACTACCGCCAACGAACGAGCACACGGCGCCGAGAGCCGGCGTCTTTAGCAGACAATCTTTTAGACTTAAAAGTGGCGCGAGCTTTTCTGACATCAGTTGCCAATGCATTATTTTATCATCCTTACTAATGAAACACATTGAATGGACACATAATCGATTAAAAAAATGGTTTGTCGGGATATTTTCACTGTTCCTTTGGGAGTACTGATATTGTCTGCTTTGCAGTTCCTTGTTGTTAACGCACCTGTTTTTGTTTCTGCGACTGTCGCCGCCTGCGGAACGCGCGCCGCTTTTGAGTTGAAACAATTGTCTGCTAAGACGTATGCTCGTTCGTTGGCGGCAGTTGGCGTCGCGACCGCTTGCGGCATCTCTTGTCTCCCGTGAGAAGCTGCACCGTATTGTTTGAAGACTGGTGGCTTCGCTGCGTGTCCATAGGATCTAAACCTTTTTCTTTCTTTACTTTTTCCTCAAATAAGCTTGCTCTTCGCAAATTTTACAAAACAAATGCACCATCTGTGGGCAACACTGCGCAAAATTGTAGCGCGATAGGTTAAGAAACCGAATTTTGCGGTCGATTTAAAGAGCCTGGCCGCTCCTTGAATCACCCAGTATATCTGTGGGAGCTGTCACTCTTCTTGTCTACATCCTCATATATGATATTGTACCTAAAAGAGATAAATATTACCATTCACACCTTTTTCAAGGATCAGTAAAGCTCTTGTAGTTGCCACGAGAAGTAAGCACACAGTGTCTCCACTCGGGAAAATATATTCATACCTCCAAGAGAGTAATTAACATGTCATCCTTGTCACTAAAACACAGTCCCAATTAGTTGTTCGATAAGTAAGGCACCCTAAAAGCTAAAATGTATCTGAGCAGATAAATGGTGAGGGGATCGCTGACAGCTTGTGCTACAGAACCCAGAGATCCAGGGGTTTGATCCCCCACCCTTACCCGTTCTGATCAGCATAAGCATACTGGGGACGGGGGCGGGGAGGGCGAGCCCTATGCTACACGGCAAGTGCAAGGGACCGGGACAGCGCCGTCTGCTGCAATTAGTCAGCGGCGTGACGCTAATTAATCGCAGCAGACGGCGTTGTCTGTTTCCGTTGGTTCCACTTGGTCTTGCTGTGCAGCATAAGGCCCCTGGTAATGTGTTTGTGTAATCACTACTGCATGATACACATTGAAGACCCCAGGTCGGCAGTCATACTGCACTACCTAAATTTTTCGTCTACAGAGTCAACCAGACCGACCTCCCACTGTCTAAACATCTTGTCATCTAATCTAATACTTTACTGCCGAGCTTTGAACCTGGTGACCTGATTGTCATTCTTGGATTACAGCAAAGGAAGAACAGTGAACGTTTGAGGCATCGTTTTTCAGTCTTCCCCGGGGTAATTGCTGTAACTATTTTCAAAGGACGTGTGTTGAATCAACGCAAGCAAAAGATAGGTGTTCAGCCACACGCGCATTGGCACAATTATGCGACACGTCGGCAAGTTATATTTTTCGTCCCAGTGGGCACTCTTGTGCTTGCATGCTCTGGGTGGGCACATTCATGAGGCACTAAGCAGCCGTGCAACGCTTTGCACTGACCGTTTCCTCGCTCTTCAGATGATTGAAGTGCAAGCCAAGCTTCTACGCGATGTCGTCTACGTCGCTGGAGACAGTGTGGAGTGCTTGGTTACCTTCATCAACAAGCGTGCAGATGCCAACGTCGACGAAAGGCCCGAGAACTGGTACGTAGTGTGCTTTCGTTGCTCTACTGAATGTCGGCTTGTGCCCGTGGGACACAGATACTGCCAGAGACGTGGAATGAGCAGAAACCCTGAAGGGCCCTTTCATCCTGCTGCCAGGAATGCGTCTCGACTGGTGTCGCATACCTGCTGAGTTTCACAATTTTATCGTAAAGTGCCTGCTTTCCAGGGCTTCCTTACGGTTATTGTATAGACAACAATGTATATACAACTCCTCTGATCCTGTGTAAAAAAAAAAAAAAGAAAATTGTTTCTCTTGAGCTACATATGCCACCAGTTTGCAATTCGGCGTTAATTTCACTCATGCAGGCTACCAACAAGTGCAAGACTTTACCGACTAGGTTGACACCTCGAGTGAACGCCTTCCACCGCGTCGGTCGTTTTAAGGATAGCCGTTAAATTTTAAGAAAAAAAAAATGACAAGAGCGAAGGGGTCGCTTTTCCGCGCTAACGGCGTTGCGTAGTGTACCGCTCGCAGTGCTTTGGCGCTCCCGACCTTAACCTTGCGTGACAATGCGACGCAGCGTCAAGCCAACGCCGGAGAACCTTGCGTGGGCGAGCGCCCAGATCCACTGCCACTGCTCGGTGGACGAGGCCAAGGTGCACTTTCCCAAGTCTCCGTCGCAAGAACAGATGGCCACGGGTTCCAAGGACACCTCTTTCATTCCGTGCCGAGGTGAAGGTCGCTATCCCTCTTTGTTCTCGGTTTTTATTCTTCCCTATTGCTCTACTACTTGTCTCGACAAGAATGATTGCAGTAGGAGTCATGTGCCGTGGGTATCGAGGAAAGGATCAACACTTTGGACGGGCACCATATTTTCCGGACTATAGTCCGCGCCCCATGTATATAGTCCGCAGAGGCGAATTCCAGCTGAGAGAAAAAGTTTTGTGTTTAGATGGTTCTCACCTGGTGCATAGTTTGCTCATAAAATACATGGCACGACACATTTTGACAAACGACCGCTTTATCAGATCACAAAGAAGCTCGCATCATAACCTGTCGCTAACAAAATCCACGACGGTTTGTGTTAATGAATGGTCTTGGAAAAACAAACCTTTGTATAGTCTGCACCCTATAAAATTTCAACTTCTAAACGTGTAAGGTCCGTCAGCTATGATCAGGAAGTATAGTAGTCGCAACGAGAGCTGTTTCTTTTTTTTTTGGAAGCTCGGCTTTGGCAAAGAAGTTGGTTTTCATGACGATATGCTAGCCTTTGCTTTCATTTTCGGACTTGTCTACTTGAAAGGTGTCTTCATTAGCTACACCTGGGTGATGTTTATTTCGAGGCTTTATTATTAGCAAACAATCATGAGCGTCTTGATAACTAACATGTTTCGCTTTGTACATTGCTGCACCTTCATCCTTTTCGCATGGACATTAGGATTGTATAAACCTTCATACTACATCTGGATAGGTCATTTTGTATTAGTGCATGATGGAATTACATACTGCTTGATGCTTGCTTTCCCCCCCTCCCCTTTTTTTTTAAATAATATATCCTGTATATTTGCTAGTTAGTTGTAAACCTTTTAATGTCGTGTTATTTGCTTTCGTTTTATGTGTGAATGTATATGTTGTATCCCACACCTACTTGGGCCTTCGATAGCTTGTAGTATCCTCTAAATAAAAAAAAAAAAAAAAAAATACACGTGATCCATATTTATAGCCAAAGGCTAGTCATGGATCCATCAGAAGTCAAGAGCGACCTGAAGGTTTCCATTTGCTTCCTAACGTAATGCAGTATTAGGAAATGTGGACAGGTGTCTGAACCGTGCGGGAAATAACGGATTTTTAAATTTAGTCAGGAAAGAGCTGTTTTGGGGTCACTGGGAGACTACCTTCACTTTCCTTTTTTATTCATCCATAGACAATTATCTTTATTCTCAGTCATAAATGTTGTCCTTTGAATGCCCTACAGCTATTAAAATTAAGTTTTTGTGTGCATCTAGTACTACTGACCATCGCCCGAGTGCTGTTACTATAGCTGTCAGTTAGGGGATACACTTACTAGGAGGTCTGCTAAGATCCAGAGCACACTACATTTGGAGACAACTTTCTGTGTTGTGCCCCAAAGAGAACAGGAGTGCACATGCGTGGCTCTAATTGGCGCTCGAGCACGCACTGTCGTACCTTTGACTGCATTGCCAAAGAAAGTTGTTCACAGACATAGCTGCACTGAAGTTTGTGTTCTTTAAGCATTGAACACTACAGAGTGCTCATTCAGAATGCCTGAAGCCATCATTTAAATGCACATTATTTTCTTAATAATCTTGTGTGGAAACCTTCCCAAGTTTTGGTTTGCAACATTCCGTAAGATGGCAAAGAACTGTATTACTTCCATCCTCCAACCCAAGACAAAAGGCAAAAATAAGATAACTGATATACACACACACACCCACACACACTAAACTAAACTCAGCAACTGATTTATTTCATAAACTAGTCGTTCACCAGTTTACCTGCATTTTTACTTTCATTCCTATTCCCAATGAGGGCTAGAGCTGTATTCCAGCTGTTTTTTGTGAAATAAATTAATAGCTGCCAAGTTTGAGACGGCATCTGTGCGTGTTAATTATTTTATTTTTGCCTCTTCTCGAGTTGAGGTATGAAAGCCATTCACCGGCTTGCCCGCATCTTTACCCTTATTCTGTACTCTTAGCTCCTTTTAGCAAACAACTTAGTTATGCAAAAAATCTTGCAGTTGTTTCCTCTCGTGTCTATGGTACTTTGCGCCCTGGTTTAAAGGGAGGACATTGCTTGTCGCACGTGTGTATCTGTGTGTTCGTCATCCATCAGTGTCTTGGCTTCGGCATTTTCTTTTGCCGCAGGCGAGAAAGGCTACGTGGTGTTCTCTTCCAAGCCCAAGATCTTGTTCTGTGACCTCCGTCTTTTGCCAGGAGAAAGCAAGTCGTGTGAGTCACCTTTGCCGTCGCCTTTTCGTCGCGTCTGTTGCGTTTCTGCCATTCCGCTCAGTCGCACATCAGGTTATGCGTGGCTAGATTCTTAGTGGGCTAAGTTGGGACGTAGGTCAAGTAACACTAGTCGAGACCACTGGCACTCGCAAATAGAGCCTAGCGCGGTTCCGGTTTAGAAATGTAACTGTGATAGCCCCCCCCCCCCCCCCCCCCCCCCCCCCCCCCCCCCCCCCCCCCCCCCCCCCGGGGTTGGTGCACACACATGTAAACACTGAACCCATGATCATTTTAGAGCCGAACGTGCTTCTGGACGTGTTCCCACGAGACGAGCGTTGCGAAAAAAAGGTCACGAAAAACCGTCTCACACTTGCCATGGCAACATAAATCTAACGTTTATAATCTATCAGCTACGTTGAGCATTATTGATTATCATCAGTCAATCAAGATAATGATAAGGACAAATAAAAGTCATGATGACTTACGAATAATTATTAGAATCGACATATTACACCTATTTCGTTAGTTCTTACCATTATCTTAAAATTCGGTGACTGCTGCGCTCGTCGTCCGGCAAACGTCATTTAATTAGTCCTTTTTTTCCCCTCGCTGCGGCCGTGCGCACCACGGGGCAGTCGTGTACAGGGAAACGATCCCGTCGTCGGTGCCACCCTCATACAAAGGCCAGGCGGTGAGGTACGCGTACAAGGTCACCATAGGGGCTCAGAAGGTGAACGCCCGCATCTGCCTCCTCCGCATACCCATCAAAGTGTTCGTCGTCGAAGGTGAGCACTCCCTCAGCCTCATCGATGGCGGCGTGGTGCCAGCAACGCATCTGCGACCGCCGCGTTTACTGCGTTAAAAAAAAGTAGTCCCTCAACTTCTGCCTCAACAACGTTGTAGGAGCGTTGTGTCATTCCCGGCCTCAATCGTGGCTGCGTCGCAGCAGGGGCGGGGCGGTGGATGTGTAGGACTCCGCATTTTCGGACGAATCCGACAAGCTCCAAAAAACACTTGCCGACAAATTTTTCGGCAGTTCGGATTCATCCGAAAAACTCGGAATTTGGAGGTCACGATGGCAAAGTGAAAAGCCACCCAGGACTATATCTTATGAATCAAGTTTGTCGAGGCACGGGGCTAGTAAAACAACAAAAACAATTTTTTTTTTATTGTTTTGGATTATTGACAAAAGGGAGTTTTTTTGTTGTCTCATCAAAGGTTTGTTCGATACAATGGGTCTGTGTGCTTCTGGACCACTACGAAAGCTACTGTTTCGGTTTCTGGTTTGGACCATACTATTGGTACTTCTTAGAGGAAGGAGGGGGTTGTGTTTTTATAACATTGAAAGACATGAACCTGTAGATTTTGCAGGATGGGGAGGGCAGCCGAAGTTTCAATGCGTCTAGGAGTTTGGAAATTTCATAGTAGTACCGTAAAATTTTGAGAGATGCCCCACCACCGAAAGGTAACCCACCCCAATTCTTGGCTTGATTTGGTATTTTCTTTTAAACACTAAAAGATAGCCCACTCCTAGTAATCATAGTGTTGGGATCAATGATGACCTTGGCATAAATCTGTCTAGTTACCTATGGCGGGATATAAGCGAACATTGCTGACTGGAAAGTTCAGAAATCTTTGCTTCATTGCCCCTTGCCGAGATAACAAGCTTGACAAAAGCATGATCTAATTTTTTTTTTTTTTCAAATTTTTTTGATTGTACATTGAAAGTTGGCCCACTCCTTATTTTCACCCAATTTTCTCTCGAGTTTAGGTGGGCTATCTCGGGATTTTACGGTATCAACGTTTATTGTAGTAACACTTGTTTCGAAGTACCCTAGTAATGACGCTCATTCTAGTAACGCTGGTTTTCAAGATTTGTCATGGGACAGTGAGTACTGCCGATCGCAAAGGCGCCAGTACCGAACGCAGCGGCAGAAATATCTTTTGATGCAGGCAATTCGAAAGATTTAGTGTACGTTTTTGTGCAGACAATATTTATTTTTATTTTTAAAGTAAATATAGGAACGGAGTAAAATTAATTTTAGAACTTTGGAGAATTGGAAATATAACAAAGATAAACTCCGATAAACCCCGAATTCCCAGCGAAAAATAAACTCCGAAAAACACCCTTTCTGAATTTCACCGGAAATAAACTCCGAAGACACTGAATCCTACAGACATGGCAGACACCCATTCCACTGCTGGTCGCCCTCCGGAACTGGATTTGGAGGCTGGGAGCATACCGTCCGACGGAGAAGCTCCTTAGAGTGCCTCCAGATAGGAATCTGAAACTGCCAGAATGTTGCGGCATTGGACGCGTCAAACTGAATCCGACCGGAAAAAAACGTGACAATGTTTCGCCTTTCGTGTTTCCATTTGATGCTTCTAAGACCGACCAGCTTGCAAGTACCATACTCTAGGAGGGGAAAAAATGTCGGCCCCACAAAAGTGCTTTTTACAAGGACCAACATGCGCAAACAAAAAAACCGATGCCCATCCCACACCTTACGAATGCGACTCGTTGATGTTGAGCACTCGTTAGCGACCACGAAAAAACACGCCAGTGGTTAGGTGGTGCAGGCCGCCTCTTGTACAAAAGGGTGCAGCCACAGTCGTCCGTCCGTCCAGGGTCCCCCCAGGTCGTAGAAAGTTTTGAACACGCTTCCCGGTCGAGGCCGCTTCGTCGCCCTCGTTTTCTGACTCTCCCCGTGACGAACAGGCCTGATGGAGGCGCTGAAGGAGCGCCTTGCCCGGGCGGCCCCCAACAACCCGTTCCTTCCGTCGGCAAGCCGGCAGTCTGTCCTGGAGGTTGCCGTGGACTTCCTCGAAGACCTCACCTCCCGGAGGAGACCCAGTGAGTGACCCGCCTCCAGAGCGTCATTTCTTCGACGGTGGGGCAGTTTCATGTACAGTATAGACCACTTACAACGTAACCACTTATAGTGCAGGACCGGGTATAACGCGGCTTTTTTAAACCACCGGTTCGCCTCCCATAGAACTCCATGTAATTACATACCGCTTAAAATGCAGTCGCGCGAAGGGAAATACTGGTTATAGTGCGGTTTCTGGAACAGCCCGCGGACCGCGCCGACTGACCGGCGCAGCGAGCACGCTTCCCTGTGCGACACTAGATAACGGCGCGAGCCGCAAGCGGCACTCGCGGGGCAAGGAGGTTGCTCGAAGAAGCGGGGAGAAGCGAAGAGAGAGGCTTCAGTTGCCATAGCGACGGAGGGACGCACGCACGTGTCGTTCACGTGCGTGCGTCCCTCCGCTGCGTTGGAAACAACCGCAACGACAGACCAATCGCAGGTTGAGGAAAAGTGTTTGCGCGCGTTGCATGCCGGTCGCGGGCCGGCTGCTTCTATACGTCGTGTTCTATCCGCAAACATGGCGTCGGTTGTGATCGTCGACGTAGACGGCGTGGTGGAAGCTCAAATTTCCGCGTAAAAGCGCTATCCTTGACTGTGAATTTTCGTTGTGTGTCAGTATGATAACCCAGCATGTACTAGAAGGGAAGATCCACCCACTCGTACGGCGACGTTGTGGCGGCACTCTCAAGACGGCAGAAACGCCCGTGTCGTCGTGTTTGTTTACTTCGACTACAATGGTGCTTTTTAAGCATTTCTGTTTTGAAACATTGCCCGCATTTCTTATTTAGAGCATTTCATGCCTGTGCTCAAGTTGAAGGTATTACTGGCGCAACCGTATAAAGGATGCGAATTTTTAAGCGTTTTCATCGCCGGAGAAAAGTGATTAGGGTTAGCAATCCTGAATGCTCGCAACGTCCGTCCGCAACCTGCGACGCTGCTAGAAGGCTGCGCCAGGCAAAAGTCGCTCATTTCTTTCAAAATGTGTGACACACTTGAGAGAAGAAGTGTACTAGTCGGGTGAAATAAAGACTTTCCTCAAACTAAGCTTTATTTTTCATCTAACATAAAATAAATTGTTTTACAAAGGTAAGTTGTCTCATGGTATCTATTTTGGCCTGAAAAATTGATGTTTTGGTTATAACGCGGTACCGCTTATAGTGCAGATTTTTGCGACTCCCGCGACATACGTTATATGCGGTCTACACTGTACTTGCTTGTTGTTCAAAATCCTGCCGGGCGCTGCATGGATGAAGTTTCACCCTAGCATAATGCCCCGAGTCATCGCCCACCCCCCTGCCACCTGGAATTCGTAAAAAAAAGTGGGGTGGGCCATGTCTCAATGGGTAAATGCAAGCAATTTAAAAAAAAACGCCAATTTTTTTGTATGTATCTAGGGTGGCTGCACAAGAAATACATTATACTCAAAACTCAAATTTGTTTCATGGTTTTATACAAGTTAGAAGACGTCTGTCGGATAGGATGAATGTTTGCGGGTCGCAGAGTCCTCTTTGGGGTATTGTAGGGGTGGGTGATCACTCTGCATTTTTTTAGAAATCAATATTCGCCCTAAAAGTGGGGTGGGCCATGACTCGGAACATTACGGTGCGTCTTTCTACGCGCGGACGCAGCATTTTCCAGCTCGCTCGAGTTTTTTCTGTCCCAATCGACTGCGTCAGCCAGAGTAGCGTCGTATGGTACCCATTCTTTGAACAAACTGTTTTTTTTATTTGAATCTCAAATGAGGTGATGTAGAGAAGTCGACCCATCTGTGGCCAAGATGGTTTAGGTAGATAGGGCAGGGGGGGGGGGAAAGAATGAAAGCAGTTACCTTCCCCCCCCCCCCGGCATCTGCCAAACTCCGTCGTACTTGCCGAGTTCTGTTGTCGACGGAGCACACTTGCCATGTGTGTGCGTTTCGCCAACGCCAAAAATGACGCCAGTACTAAGCGTCTGCATGCAAACAGACGGGGAAAGTGATGGGCGCTATTTGTTGATGTAGTGGGACGTGGCCTACCGTAAGTGAAAATGTGTTTCTTGAAACTGCCCTATATACGACCTGGCACGCCCAATACAGCATTTTCCTGCACCCGTGATTTCTGCAACTTTTCCGTTACCTCTCGGTTTGCCGTACAGTTCAAAGGATAGGACCCACGCTTGGCGTTCCATCGAACAGTTAGACTGAAGCTTTTCTAGAAACCAGTTAGTGCATCAAAAAGGAACGAAGGACTGTTGAGTCTCCTATTATCCGCAGTAGGACACTCACGGAAGCGGTTAATAGCTACGCCGGCAAAGTGGCTTGTTCCCATTTCCGCTAGCGCATCAGAGTTCGAGAACATTTGGGTGAGGCATGGAATGGGCCAAGTGCAACCTGGACTCTCATTGATGCAGCTGAGGACGTAAATCCATCTATGTCGTTGACATTGTTGTCGAGTGGAGCTTCACAACAGTTCCGGTGGAGACATTTGCCATAACCATAAAGCATGTGTCGTATGCTTCCGATGGCTCAGGTGGCTCATGCCACAAGTCGTTTCTGGGAGATTTTTGTGCCAATTTAATTGCTACAGTACCATGTCTGGGGCATGTCACAATCCCTTATTGCTCTCACTCATCCTTTTTTTTAACAGAATGTGTTGTAGGGGTGGGTTTCACGAGAAAAGCGACGCATTACACTTGACCAACACACGGGTCAAGGTGTCATGTGGCACCTTGATGTCGCCCGGCTACGATGCCGCTTAACTCCGCGACGTTGCACAACACCGTGACGCTGTGTGACTCAATGTTAAGTTTGGGTGTCGTGATGTCACAGCGTTCAGGTCACGAAGTTATGCGACCCCACAATTTCACGTGACACTGATGTCGCGTGGCTTTCCGACGTCACCCACACGACACTGTGATGTCACAGTACTCTGACATCATCAGTCACGTGACATTATGGTCCTGTGATATCATGTGATGTCACATGTCACACTGTGTGTTGGATGACCCTTTGACATCACCAGTCATGTGACCTCATGACATCACACACGACACTGTGATGTCAATGACTCTGACGTCCCCAGTCACGTGGCATCACAGTTCTGCGACCTCGTGACATCATGTGATGTCACACAACTCTTCGACGTTGTCAGTCACGTGACATCGCAGTCATGTGACCTCATAAGTCACACAGGCATGCATGCGCGCGACATCTTCCAGCTCGTTCACAGCACATTCTGCGTATCTCGGAGTTTATTATATACGACCGAGACACGCTTGGTAATTGTTTCCTCTCCTCCCACACCCCAGGCTACTACAACGTGACACACCAGAACGGCCGGGTGGTGCGATTCTGCCTGCTGAAGACCTCCTTCCGGCTTGGGGAGGACATCGTGGGCACCTTCGACTTCTCCGAGGCGACGGTGCCGTGCGTCCAGTATTCGGTGACCCTCCAGAGCGAGGAAGAGGTGCTCGGGGCGGCGTCTGCCAGCGGAGAGGCCGTACTCTCGACCCTGGGGCACTGCAAGCAGCACGCTTTCTGCCTACACCTGCGCACCACCCACCTACACCTGCCCGTGCCGCTGCACGTGACGCCCTCCTTCGCGTCGGACATAGGTAAGCGTTGGGCCAAGTAATCAAGCACACGTGCGGCTTGATTACTTGGAAAACATGCTGTTACTGATGGGAAAATGAAACCAGATAAGAGGTGTGGCTCCGCGAGGTAGAGGCAGCCTTGCAGATATTCGAGTGTGGAATGGTGCTCGGGGCTATCACAAAATAAGGCTGCGGACAAAGATGTCTTTCCGTGAGCCTGGGTCTTTTTTTTATACAAAGGCAACTCCAGTTCTAGGCGTTTTTTTTTTTTCCTCTCTTTTTCAATAATGATAAAGTTAGCCCAGGGGTCACTTTTCAGGATTTATCTGTATACACCGAAAACATGGAACCCCAGTTATATGTATCAGTAGGCTGGCTGTCTGGCATAGGATTATGTTCACGCTTGACGGCCAGGCAGGCTGTAATGATTAGAATGTGCATGCCCTTGCTCTAAAGAAAGTAAAATGTGCTGGTGAAATTAAATAATTTTTTAACTTTAGCTAGCTAGTTTTCTTGGCTAAATATAGTAATATTTTTTTTTACACTCGAGCCATAAAGTTTTGGAAGTAACAAAAGAGAATAAAGGTAAAAGGAAAGACCTATAGTAATATCTGACAATTAAATTCCGTTGCTAGATTTGTTTGAAGAGTTGGATCAGTGTGGTCACTGCAGTGTGTACTTAATGTAATATACTTCAATCGTTAAAAAAAACGAAATCTATAAAATTTTGTGCAAGGCTTCAGAGAATTCCAGTCACAAACTATTTTAAAAGCCCACATTCGAGTTTGCAAGTATTAAAGGCTGTTTTATTTTTATTGCAGTGGAGCTGCGCTGGAAGCTTCACTTCGAATTTGTGATGACCACGTCTCCTATAACGATGCCCGGTTTGCGGCTGCCACCGGGTTCTGGCGATTGGGCGCCACCAGAAGTGCTCGATGTGCAGACCATGGTGTGGGACCTTCCCATCTGCCTGTTCCCCACCCACCCGGGCCATGTGAGCAGTGCCCTCAAAGCACCCTCCCAGATGTCCCTCCAGATCTGCTGACCTAACCAGGACTCTCAAGTGCCTTGCGTCAACCACCGCGTCGTCTGCTACAGTGATGGCTGCCGTCTGCTGCTACGAGCAGGTGCCATCCAGCCAGACATGCAAATAACGATTGTCTGCTATGCTACGAGCAGAGGGATCCATGTAATGCAATCATTCATCCGGGCATGGTGAAGACTGTCATCTGCAACATCATCTGCAATGTCGTCTGCTACAGCGATGGCTCCCGTTTGCTGCTACGAGCAGAAGGTGCCGTCTGGCCAGACATGCAAATAACGATCATCTGCTATGCCAAAGGCAGAAGGATCTATGTAATACAATCATTCACCTGGGCATGGCGACACTGTCTACATCATCTGCAATGTCGTCTGCAACATTGACGACTCGTCTGCTTCTATAAGCAGAAAATGCCATCCAGCCAGGAGTGCAAGTAACGATCATCTGCTACCCTGCAAGCGAAATGGTCTACAGAATACAATCATTCACCCGGACATGGTGGCAACTCCCAGCTGAAACATCATCTGCGATGCCGTCTGCTACTGCGAGCAAAAAGTTCCATTCACCTGGACATGTAATGAAGCATTGTTTATGCTTAGTCTGCAAGGTCATCTGCTGTGCTGAGACGCCGTGATTCCATTCACCTACATTTACAAATGGCTGTCATCTAGATTGTCATCTGCTGTTACAAGCATAAGAGTTTGTACACTCGGATGCGCAAACAACCCGTCTGCTATTCCTTCGGGACATCGTCCGCTGCAAGCAGCAGCTTTTTCTGTGTCCAGGTGTGTAAATGATCATCTGCAGCTGAAAGTGGGACATACAACCTCCCCAAACACACAAACAACTGCAGTCCGCAACGTGTAGACAGACGCACTTGCCAGATATACTTTTGCCGGAATCTTGTATGAGCGGTTGGGTAGCACTATGCACCCTTTGCTACTATGACTGGACAACATCCTTCTCCCTAGTACTTACGGCCAATGGTCATCACGTTGTCTGCCGTGCTTGTGCAGGGCACAAGCACGGCAGACGACGTGATGCTCGTGCTCTGCTGGAAAAGAAAGAGCACCATTATCAACTGAGTGAAAAAATGATGCCCAGTCAATTGCGATCCCCTGCTGCGAGCTCAGCCAAAAGCATGATGTCTCCTGCTCAACGTTTCTGCGATGGAAAATGTAGCCGCCAACGTCTCCAGACGTTGACGGCCATTGTGAACCACCTGGCCGAAATTCCACTCTACCAAGACAGGGTGTGGATTATTACTGCATTTCGGGGAAAGCTTACAGCCGTACACAAAGTTCAAACTAGCTATGTGGGAGTTCAGCATAGAATAGGGGCTAGTTCACAATTCGTTGCTCTCGTGTGGTCGTGGAGGTGCTTGTTTTTAGCAACTTGGCAGCGTGGGTAGCACACCAATCGTGCTCTGGACAGCTGTCGGTTTGCACCGCTAACTACCTGTTTCGTTCAAAGACTGGTTCACACACACTTGCGGCGAGAGACCACACTGCTACAGTTTATCGGATGACCCTGGAACGCCTCCGGTCGGCGTTTATTTCCTCATTTCTCGCGCATCATTTCTTCACCATCGGCGTGAAATACTTTTGAGGATGTTACAAACAACCATGTCGGCTCGAAGCTGAGCGAGTTGGCTCATTGCTTGTTTATGGTGCCGGCTGAACATGTTTATGGTGCCGGCTGAACATGTTTATGGTGCATGTGCGTGCACACGTTCACGGTGCCAGCGTGCTTCTCTCGTCGTAAGCGGTTACAGCGCAGTTCATTGCGCTCAAAACACGGATGTGTGAACCAGTTTTAGGGCATCTGAAACCCGTTTGCTCACACTTTGAGAACATCCTCTCTTTGTAAACAATCTCATCTGCCAAAGGCAAGGGTATACGGGGTTCATCTTTTAGCACCTGGGGTAGGTTTTCTCACTGATCCCGCTGCACAGAAATGCGGTTTTGGGACAGCACGACGTCTGGCTAAAAGAAGAAAGCCGTGCAAGTCTGCCGCTGGTTTGGAACGGCAGAACAGGCTCCTCCCAGAAACCTTCTGCTCTTTCCACTTTAGCAAAGCAAACGGTGGAAAGGAGGAAACAACCAACCGTATCGAGCAGAGCGCTTTGCAAGTGGGGCTTGCCCTGCTGTCCTAGACCTGCAGCAGACTATGCGGAGTGCAAGTTTGTCTGATTTTTGCACTGGACTTGCGAGCTCCGATTGGCTCTGATTGAAGGATAGTGGGTAGACCTCAAGGCAGCTAGCATTGATGTCTACCCACTATCCTTCCAATCAAAGCTTGGCGTTTTGACGTCGCTGCAACCCCTGAGCGAGAAGCAGACGAACTTGTGCTCTGCATAGCACGACTTAGTTGTGGGAGCTGCGGAAGGTAGGCGGAAATGACTCACTGTAAATATATCATTTTGTATGTTGGGGGGTATCTCCGTTTTGGGAAGAGCGCGAAATTCTCAACATGCCTAGCTTTTTTTTTTTCTTCTTCTCGTATAGTGTTGGACAGAAAAACTTGTTAATTGTGTACAGGTTCCCTAAACAACTTCCTCTTTTATCTGTCTGGAAGGAATGTGCGACAACTTTTGGCAGCAGTTCGGGTACATGTTACCGCTCAAGACATTGATAGTTTTTTATATTTTTGTTTTTTTAGTTGATCTTTGTTTTTTTGCGGAAGGAAGGTTGGTATTGATTGCCGAATGAAATGAAGGAGCATGGAGCACTGGTAGTAGTGAGGAAAAGGGAATATACTCGGTTTTTGTACATTTCTTTGCTACATAGATTGCCTAACCTGATGAAGTGCTCCGGATGGGAGCGAAATAAAAAAACAAAATGTTGAACTTGATGAACGAAAGCAGTGGTGTGTGCGCGCTGGTCTTTATACGTCTCGGTGGCTCGGAGGCAAAGTGCTGCCCCACAGATCCCAGGCGAAGTGCCTCGAACAGGTCCTCGACTGGCGCGTTTAGCGTCGCATCCCGCCCATCCACCAAAAGCAGTCTCGAAGTGGTAACAGACGGCGTCGCAGAAGCCTGTGTACCATGCTTGGAGATGCGTCTCGGGCACTGTGCCCCAGGTAGCGGGTTCGAATCCCGGCTTGTTGGCGACACGCGGCCGGGTTTGAGCAGCCAACTGAATCCTCGGTCCTTCGTTAATTCAACATGTAATCCACCAGAATTTAGATTTCTATTGCGTGTTCTTGAGAGTGAACGTCAAAGCATTTTCTCTCTATGCCTCTTCGGTTCACAGACATAAATGACAGTACTACGCAAGAAAACAGTAACAGATCGCTTTGTTTCTTTGTTTGCTCCGTAACAGGACAACCGCTTTGGTTCTTGGGTCTGCTCATCTCAATTACTGAAGCAGGACTGGCACAGATGGCGGTTGCAGAAATATTCGACTTTGCAGATATTTACATTGCTTCGCAATTTCTCTCTAGCCTTCGTAAACTCTACATCGTTTCGGGGGTCTCGGAGAGGTAGGAAAAAAAAGTTCTCTTCCGAGCTTTCTTCTGGTATTTACAGAATCTAAGCAGTGGCTCTGGCTACTCCGGTCCTCCTCTCTGCAACAAAAACAAAAACACTCCAGTCAATTTACGGTAAGCACTCAATACAGAATATGTATGCTGCTTCCAACTAGTGACCATAATACGTTTTTGTGTAACATGGGACCGCAACAGGCTTTCCTTGAAGCTGTGGTAGTCGTGAGGTGCTTGATGTACGCGATATTTCGCACACCCTGTGCAATGTGACTTGTTCACCATTGCTACAGTAATTCCTTCAGATTATTTCCTTCGAAAGTATGGCATATTTAACAACGCCATTAACATGGACTATTGCCATATTTTCGCTGTGCCATCTCCCGATGGGCACAGTGAGCTGAGAGTCGCCTGCTCGCTGCACCTATCGGTAGAGGGCGCCACAAGTAAATAGCGTCGCTAACTCGGTTGTCTGTAAACACGCCTAACCTTGACTTTGGCAAGATTTTTGGCTTTGATTTTTTTTACAGCAAGAGAACTGCACCTTGAAATCTTGCGCGGTAAGACTGACCTGCTTGGTGCACATTCGGTGAAAGTTTTAGCGTTCTATGTGCAAACGCCGACTTTTCCAGGCTCGTTTTACGGCGAACACCCCACCTATGTATGGCGTCCCAAGTGTTTTACGCTTGGGACACCCTACATAGCGTGACAGACTTGTCATTAAAGGAATGCTGAACCGAAATTTTGATATCGGAAACCAACACAGAAGCGCAAGGCAGGACGCTACAAGCCCGAAATATCACTCGTAAAGCGGTGTGTCCAACGGATGGTCATATTTTTGCGAAAGAAGAGTGCGCTTGAACAAGGCCAAAAAGGCTCGTGACGTCGCAATTCTCATTTCCTGCTCTTCTCGCTTTGACTCCGCGAGGATGCGAAGAGGGAAGGAAGCAAGGCCCGTTTCCCCTCCTCAACTATTCTGCAGGAAATGTGACGTCGCGATTCTCCCTCAGTCGCATCCTTATTTTACAGAAATATGGCAATCCGTTTGAGATATCTCTTCCGGTGGTGTCATCTCAAATCGGGCAAGCTAAAAGTGTCTAATTTTTAATTTTTACGAAACAAATGTGTGTTTTGGGGGCACTTCTCAAATGAAGGACGGCGCACACCGCATGTTCCCCAGATTTTTTGTTCTCGAGTTACGAAGCGTAAAAGCCGCAGTGGCACAAACTAGTGTTTTTGCCTGCCGTCACAGGTCGCGCGTTTGACACCCTCTGCTGGCGCTAGTGCTTTTCCTACGCCTTTTTAACTTTTCCCCCTCATTTAATAAACACTATAAAGATACCTTGACATATTCAAATATTTCTAATAATTTGATTGTTTTCTAAAAAAAAAATGTCAAACTCATCACTCGGGTCGATTTTTGGTCAACTTTGACAGGTCATTACTTTGTCTGTACTTAAGGTACATTTTTTTTCTTTAGTTCTATAGAAAGCCCTAAGCATGCCTAGTATAGATATAGTAATATCATTATGATCTGCTGAGTAGCCGCTCCGCTACCTTCACGTAAACATTGTGAAAAATAACAAATGTTCACACATTTTACGTGATTGCGGCTCAAACAGAGGACATACAACCAAAATATTAGATTTCTAAACTTTTTTCTTGTAGCCAACTAATATGTCTAAAATAATTTAAAAAATAAAAATTTACAAAATTGGGGTTTTTCACAAAATCGATCTCAAACTTTCAACATTTGTTATTTCTTACAATGTTTACGTGAAGGTAGCGGAGCGGCTAGTCGACAGATCATAATGATATATTATTATATCTATAATGGGCTTGCTTTGGGCTTCCTGTAGAGCTAAAGAAATAAAATTTACCTTAAGTACAGACAAAGTAATGACCTGTCAAAGTAGACTAAAAAGCGACCGGAGTGAAGAGTTTGACATGTGTTTTAGAAAACAATCAAATTCCTAAAAATATTTGAATACAATTTGGGGAACATGCAGTTTGCACCCTCCTTCATTTGAGAAATGCTCCCAAAACATATATTTTTTCATGAAAATTAAAAATTAGACCCTTTTAGCCCGCCCGATTTGAGATGAAACCACCCCTTTATACGTGGGGTTCTGAGGTTTTTGGCGCCCTGTTGAACACTCCTGCTACCTTATTTTGTGAAATCCAAATTTTGGTTCAGCACCCCTTTAAAACAACGGGATTGTCTTTTGCAAAAAGCGGAACTGATAAACTATTGTACCATACTCGAAGCGACCTCACCTTGGCGGGCTCAAAATATTTTCCGAATTCTGCAGCATGTGGGTATGGGCGATACATTTTACGGGCACAAAAGTTTGCAAATGAGTGCAATATTCTAGGTAAGTGTGGTTTGCATTTACGTCGCATCAGCAGCCGTTGTGGTAGCCTTGCTGCTAAACGACCACTACCACGGTGGGATGACGTTATAGTTACTATAATGTGCGCTGGAGGTTCAACTGGCGCTAGTGTCTATCGGGCTTCTGGTTTCAAATTGAAGCAGACAGCAACCACTCCACGTTTGCAGTGCTCTTGTGCATTCCTATGGAAAAACGCGCAAACATTCTGTCCCTTCGCTGGAGAATAACAAATTATTGTTGTTACTTGGGTTGTAGCTACTAATAGGTAACTTTATTAATATTACAAAAGTGAAATTGCTTTAGTTCCAGTATGTTCCCCATCAATGAGCGATGTTTAACTTCCCAGTATTCTGGGCCCAGTCCCATGTTCCACAGCAGGTGTGTAAAGACCAGCGGCAAATCTAAGCAAGGATAACAGTCGAAAAGAGCGCCAACATCCCGATGACGCTGCTATTGATAATCTAGGAGATTTATATGGCACTGAAACGACCCCCCTTTACCACTTTACAAAAAGTAAAAATAGTCCGTCATTCTTTTTTTTTTTTTTTTTTGGGGGGGGGGGGGGGGGGGTTGCGCTGTTTTTCTTCTTTTTGATGCATCACCAACTTGCCCACATTTATACACTTCTATTCTTTTTTTTTTTATTGTGCTGATTTTTCCTAAATTTTCAGTTTTCGAGCATGAGTGTTTTGAATGCTAGAACAAACTTACCTTTGCACATATACATGAGCACTAGAGTGAATAAAACTAATGTTATTTATTGAGAATTGCACTCATTATTTGGCTTTACTTTATTTTGATCTTCTACATGTATAGGAAAGTACTGATCCAGTTTTAGCACATAGTTTGTGACTTCTCTTTCAAGATGCGTTTCATTGCTTTGGCACGTAAACCCCATGCAGACAAGCGCCGATGCCGTGTTTGCACTAATGCTGGACAGTACATAAATACATGCATGTACAAGGCCTATTTAGCACCTTTGTTAATGCCCTGGATTTGAAAGAAAAATGCCAAGACTGACCAATAGTTTTGTGTAAATGATGTTCCAAGGTATTTAGTACACACAAATTATTTGGGAGAAAATGCACTCACTTTTTCCCATAGAAATGCATCATTGGAAATCAATTTCACACATTGCCATCTGTTTCAATTTGAAACTGCACAATAGGGCCAGTTGGACCTTAAGTGCACATTATAATAATGCCATGGATGACGTCACATGCAAGCCATGCATTTACTACCGTGGAGTGATATGTTCGAGTGATCAAGTTTTGGCCATATTTATACCATAGCATTATTATAATGTACGCTAGAGGTTCAAGTGGCGCTAGTGTGCTGACGCAAATTGAAGCAGACAGCAACCAGTCGAAAACTGACTTCCGGTAATGTATTTCTATGAAAAAAAGTGAGTGCACTTTCTCCCTGCGCTCGATCATAAGAGCAAATATCCTGAATAATTCATACATACTAGGGAGCTTGGAATATTTCTGAGTCAGGCCGACGAAATAATCGGTCAGTTATGGTGTTTTTCTGTCAAATTCTTCGCATTAAAGATGATGCTAAAACGGCTTCGTACGTGTATTTATGCACACTGTCGGACAGTGTTAGCGCAAACACGACGTCAACGCTTTTCAGCACGAGGGATATACGTGCCAAACGAACGAAGGACATCTGGAAATTAAGGGAGACGGCAAGAACTACGCAGTAACACTGGATCAGCAACTACCCATGCATGTACGATCAAAATAAATTGAAGGCCATGTATATATTCATATTTTATATAAGTAAGTACCGCTATATTCTTTCTGCTCTGTGCGAACTTCTATGTTCAAATATTACCAGCACGATCGAAATCTTTGAGAACAAGTGCCCGATAAAGGCTGCCCGGCAGAGAAAACAATACGAAAAGACACCTTTCATAGCCCACATGCTTTATTATTTATGTTTTGAATGTTTTTATCCCCTCATGCACGACGGGGTCATTTTCACAAGAGTGGCATATTATCAATATATTAGCGTCACCGGAATGCTGGTGAGCCTTGAACACTCACTATATTCCTATTGATTGTAATTTTGCTTTGAATCGTCGCTTGTTTTTACACACTTGCTGCATAACACACGTTTGGGACAGAAATGTAGCAAAGTTAAACATCATTCACTGATGAAGAAAAATGTGCCAACTAAAGCAATTACTTTTGCAGTGCTAATCAAGGTACATACTATTCAGTACAACCCAAATAACCGAAGTGTTCTATGTTATTTTTCGGCAAAGAGACAAAATGCACGCGCGTTTTCCCATAGGAATGCACAGGAGCACCGCGAAAGTAGACTGGTTGCTGTCTGCTTCAATTTGCGTCACAGAAGTCGCATAGACACTAGCGCCAGTTGAACCTCTAGCGTAGTAGAGTAGACAGTTGGGCGAGTTGGTAGTTATTGAACATAGTTACAGTTGCGCACACAGGGACAAGGACAGAAAAGAGGACCACTTTCTTTTCTTCTTTCGTTAATACACGAGGTGTGAGCGTGCGCTTGTCTGTCGTCTACGTGTTCCTCTTTATCTTTGTCCCTGTGTGTGCAACTGTCCCTGTGTGTGCAACCTCTAACGTACATTATAATAACTCTATGGTTTTTACAACTGCTGCTGCAGGGTTGCCGTCTACAAACAACACAGCTTTGGTGGGCACCGCGCATGCGCAGAGCTACGCTCTTTCCAGAGGCGTTGCTCGACCCAACAACCTCATCGTGCGCACATGCCCTCCGAATTCGACGAAAGAACTCGCCTGGATGTAGTCACCCTCGTACTGTGATAGCGGTTTTCTCGCGTAGCGGGCGGGTAGTTGAGACTCGTCGATGCCTGTACCCCTGGCCGTGCTACCAATGGGCTTGGACGACGGAGGCGCAGAGGCGCTGGTAGCTTTGGTAGCCGTCGCGGTAGCCGTCGGTGGCGTTTGACCTGCCAAAACTTTCCAGGGTTGTAACGTTGTAACAACCGTTGTCAGCGAAGCTGTCAGAAATCAGGGAACGCGTAAGGTGAAAGACGTCTTACCTTGGTCCGATCTCGCGCCGCTTTTCCGGAATTTTATCAGGGGGTAATGTGGCTTGACGGCCTGTGAAGTTGGGACGAGTATGTCTTTTCAATGAATGACCCAAACGCCCGGAAAGCCGGCGACGCTCACGCGAAGCATATGGTTTGAAAGTTGACATTCCGGAGTGGGCAATTATTGATCGGACGCTTTGGAACTTTAAAGCTAAATTTAGAGACACCTGACGAAAAGTATGGCAAGAGTCAAAGTGTTCAAGGGCGTCCCTTGAACTGCGATTTTTTTTTCCCGCGGATTTAGCGTTGTGCGAGGAATACCTTTGGTGCCACGATATTGGAGTCGTTAAGTCTGTCTAACGGAGCGTCATTAGATGGCTTTGATTTTTTTCTGAAAGCAAGAAGAATGTTTTGAATGACCTTAATTGCTCTCACTGACGAAGATGCCATCTTCGCTGAATTTTGATCGCGAGCGCCACAACACGTGTTGCGGAGAGTTTGCGAACCGTCCGATTGCGTTCCAAAAGCCGTTCAACAAAGGTGCGGTGACGTAACACAGTCTGATGCCGTCATTGTAAACTTTTGTTTACGTAGCGGGAAGCCGGGTAGCACGCATATCGAGCACCACAACATGGCGGCGCACAGCGAGGAGCACAGCGCGGGTGGTCTCAACTAGCGTGCTCGGCTTCATAAGCCGAATTATTTAATAATTAACCCCTGTATGTGCCAACATCACGTTTATAAGTGCATACTAGTGTTACTTAAAGAACATGAGTAGCCAGCACGGTAACGTAAAGAGGACCCGTCCCCAGAAACATCAAAATTCGACAGCATTCAAGAACACGCTCCATGACAAGAGCTTGCAAACGAAGAAAATGATCAGCCTCAAGATCACCAACGTCTGTGTGAGGTGTAAAGAGAAGATAGAATGGAAGATAAAATACAAGAAATACAAGCCCCTCACGGTGCCTCGCAAATGGTGAGTTGTTTTAACGTCTTCTGACTTTATTAAGACCCACAGCATGAGCTCGGACGTTTGGCTTATTTCATTTCATTTTATTACCTGAAAGGCCTCTAGAAGAGGTTAATAATAAAATTAGGGGAAATAACCGAATGTTGACATGAAGAAAAAAGCTTCTTTATACAGACACTATTCAATCAACTGAACAACCCCCTGCGTGAAATACTTCTAGTCACTTGTTATGACCAAGCTGGAGGGCAGCTGTTCCAATCAGAAATGCATAGTGGGAAAGGTGAGTATTTGTAGGCGTTAGTTTCACACTTTTGTTTCCTCCCAGATCTTGAGTGTTATCTGAGATTATATATGACTGCGACAAGTACAAGACAGAGCTTTCAATATTTTATTTTGTTCAAACTCATCTTACCGGCAATAGCACCTGTGGGCCGTACAGCTGAATTAGTCTCACGTAGTTTCTGGCAGAATGAGAACAACAGGTTTGTTTCTTTTATTGCAGCGTAAAATGCGAGGGAAAAACGGTGAAGTCGGCTTACCACATCATATGCGACGACTGCTCGATCAGTCGAAAAGTCTGTGCAAAGTGTGGAACTTCGGAGAACTTGGTACAGGAGTAAGTATACAAACTTCAAAAAACGTGTAGTGTGCGTCGATGCTCCATTAATTTATCAGAGGGGACACTAAGTGTGAAAAAGTATGAACCACTGTTTTCGTTTGCTTGCAGCTCCGAGGAAACTGAAAAGCTAGAAGAAACTGAGAAGTTAGGGGAAACTGATAAGTTGGAAGAAACCGACAGTGATTGAGCATTGGTGGCTATTGACTTCCGGCGCTGCTTGCTGTTCAGGTATGCCTCGTTTCGTGTTTTAGTGCAATATATGTTTACTTCTTGCACAGGAGTTGTCGTGATGTCGGAACGACGCCGAGCTACGATTGGCTTTGATCAATAGTGGGTAGACCTAACGGCTAGGTGCCTCAATGTCTACCCACTATTTTTCCAATCAGCCAATAAGAGCTCTGCATTTCGACATCGTCACAACCCCTCTGCAAGAAGCAGACAAACTTGCGCTCCACGTACAACACACCAGACAGCTCATGCTGGAGAACCCAGAGATCCTGGGTCTCCAGCATGAGGCTATCTAAATATCTACATGTGCCAATTCTTTTTTTTTTTTCTTTGTGTTGGGTACTTGTTTTATTAGCACAGTTTTCCCGTGATCTGGAGGTTGAGCAAACAGATATACGAAGACGAGTGTTCTATAGTTACACGAAAACAAGTTGAATGCCATTTTCGAGTACTTTGTTAGACAAATGGACAAACAACATTTTTCACAACACAGGGTGTAGGTAAAATACTAACAAAAGCTGTTTAGGGCCACAGGTAGTCTATCTTTTTCTTTTTATTAACAGTCGTCTTTAATCTGTTCTATAGAGAAAAAAAAATATATATATATTCTACTTACAGAACAGTCTTTTTTTTGGAAGCGATGACGTGGCATGGGTCTCCTTGAACTGCATTTTTCTGCTCTCTTCTCAAGCATGTTAACAACTGCACAGTACAAGGCGTGTCTTCTTTAAGACTAAAATATATATACCTAGATAAATATATCTATATATATTTTTTTTCCTTTTAATAAGGAGGGCATTTAATATAAATAAGTAATATTTTTAGAGGAGCTTTATCGGCCGCAGAATATGAAATTTGCCAATATTTGCATTACGACTGTGATGTGAACACCAGTTAACTAATTGCCCCATATTCACTTACTGAACTTTTAAATGCCATATCCTCTTTGTTGGTTTGACACATAAACCCCTCCCCCCCTACCTTTTAATTAGTATATCTTTTAACCCCTTAAGTGCCTTGAACGAGCTGAGCTCGTCGGCCAATTTCTGGCTAAAAATGCTGTGGACGAGCTCGGCTCGTCCAGTGGTTTTTTCGGTAGCCCTCAATTCCACGGACCGAGCTAGGCTCGTCCGAGTAGTTTTGTGGCACTGATCGATAGATGGCCGCACTCGTTTTAGATGGCAAATTTTTTTTTCGCCTCTGCTTATTTTTGCGTCATAAACTTTTAAAATTTTATGTGTAATACTAGAGGAATAACAATTGAAAATAAACAAATATATATATATGTATATATGGCACTTTTAAATTACTTTTGAAAAAAAAAAAAAAAAATTGGCACTTAAGGGGTTAAAGGGCAATTCCGGTCAAGTCTAAGGAACTTGAGTTAGGGGTTAAATATATATCCTGAGGTGGTAGTACGTCATTTCTTTGAAAAAAAAAAAAAAGTAATATTTTTCGCACAATCCTCATTTAAAGCTTGCCACAATTCGAAACCTTGGTTGTAGCAGGCAACATTGCTCCTGTGTTGTCAGCTCAAGTCATACTGCTGGTTTTAAGTTTCTAGGCCAGGTGGCACAAGCTACTGCCAGGTATAAAAGGTGCAGCCAATGGCATCTATCCATTCATCCATCCTCCATGCTCTAACCAGATGCAACAAATTGCAATGTCACGCACCAGGGGGGCAAAAGTGTCGTCTGCTACAATCTGCTACACCCGATGACGCCTAAACTACCGTGGCCACAGCTTGTGTTTTAGTTCAGAAAAGGACACATTTTCCCAAGGGCTTGTTTTGCAAACATTAGTAGAAAGTAAAGTTCAGTAAACCACACACAAATATGTCGTGACGGGTTTGTAGAAGTATGCCGTGCTCAACATTGCAAATTGGCTCTCTCGCACATGACGGACGCTGCAGGCGATGACCCACACTCGCACGGGAGCACACAAAGGCATGCATGCTCTGCGAATCACGTGGCCAACAATGAGCGCACTGCTAGCACCGCCTGTAAACTTTTCTTGAAAAAGTACAGAACTAGCAAACCGACCTCCCCGAGCACGACGTAGGTGGCGGAGGGTGTGCCACGCCAACGCCGTGATATTGACTGCACTGTTGGCTACGCCTTGCCTCGCCCGCTGGGATTAGCATATTTTGGTAATTTTGCACACCTCGAACTTTGGTTGCCGGTTTCATCAACTTTTAGGCAGAATTAGATTGACATAGTTGGCATGTGAATTGCATTGTTTTCTTTCATTGTTTATCTTAAGTACCTTTTATTTCAAAGGGACACTGACAGGGTATTTATGCTCACCAGGGTTTTTATTTGTGCATGACATATAAAAGCCCAACTACCCAGAACAAAATTTGCGGCTCGAAATTTGTTTTCTTTCTGCCCGAAAACAGCTGATCGAGAACGGTTTGAGTCTCGCTCACTCTCTTCTCCGTGGTCACGTGCAGTTTTCTATGGTTTAGACACAACCACTAAAGATAATCAAAGTCGTGGGTCATCGAAGGCAGACACTCAATACAAAAAATTGACAAAAAATATGGTACCCATTTTTCGTTGCTTTAAAAAGCTGCAAATATGTTGATTGGAAGAAAAAATGTAGCACAGCCACGTGACTTCCGGTAACTTTCTCCTCCTCTATATTTCTTCTTCGTCCCCAGTCCAGTTTTAATTTTGGCTTCAAGCAGTTGCGTTTTTTTTACTTTATTAAAGATATACTTGACTCTGGAGCAAAATATGGATTGAGTAGTCTTCTGACGCTATAATGAACCACCTGGCAAAATATAAACAAAATTTTCTGGGGTATGTCAGTGTCCCTTTAAGGATATGTCTTCAGTCTAAAAATTACCCCGTATCTTACCGCCGAATTCAGAAACCTCACTCAAACTACACTCACACTGAAGGGCCCCTCCACTTCCTCGAGGAAGTTGCGAGGGCCGGCGCTGGCCAATCGCGACGGCGGATCCATCCTCGCGATTGGCCAGCGCCGGCCCTCGCGCCTTGCTCGAGGAAGTGAAGGGGCCCTTCAGTTTGAGTGTAGTTAGTGACGTTTCTGAATTAGGTGGTTAGACAGCCAGAGAACTAGAATTCTTTTTACAGTGACAACACTCCCTCTCACTTTGACGTAGACTGCACAAAGGTTACAGGCACGATCGGGTAACTTTGCTACCTAGGTGCTAAGTCACCCAAGCTAGGAGCTAGGTGAGGTGTGTCCCAATATCTAAAGTAAAAAGCTCATGCTCACCGCCTTCACCGTTTTCCTACTCTTCTCGCAAACACTCAGGACACGCTATCAACACATCTTCTAAATGTCTTGGAAACATACCAACAATCAAACAGTTTGCTGCCAAAACCCTCGTAAAAGAGCGTATAGAACAGATGTAATTTGTTGTAATGTTTTAATGAGAAAAAAAAAATGTGGCACTTTTACGACGCCCTAGATCTCGGTGCATCGTTGAAGACTATGAGGAGGACCGGCGTGCCCTCCATGACTTTTCACTCCGTGACCGCCAAGTGGACTCGAAGGCGGAACGCTCTCGATTGGTTCTCCGCCTCTTCCTCCGACGGACTTCGGCTTCCGATGTTGACCTTGTAGAGTCCGGCCTTCTTGATGGATTCTGCGAGCTGCAGCGTCACACCGCCATCGCTGCGGGAGATTGGAGAACTGTCGGTGCGCGTTCCGAAGTGAACGTCGCGCGTCGGCGTCGTCGCTTTACGGTGGTTGCAATAAACTCGCCATGGGAGGTACCTCGCATGAAGTAGTACTCGTGTTTGTGAGGCAAGAAATGTACAGATTGCTCTATTTGACAGTCACCTTGACGCTTTTTGTGAAAATTGCGAAACACCAGTCAAGACACTTGGTGCCTGTCCGTCGACATTCAGGCGTCGTCCGCTAGCGACATGGCTCAAAACTCTTGACACAGAGACAAAAGGTTAACATGTTGTTGGTTATTTTAGGACAAGTTCTTTTGGTCCTTTCTGCATTGTTTCCATGTAGTAGTGGTCTCTAGAAGACCAGGTTAATAAACAGGCGAGCTGGTTAATGTTACATGTGATTTTAGTACTTGCTTCTCCGACTGAGTGCCTCGATTATTTCATGTGGCTAGCGGTATATTTGAACATATAGACACTAATATTTTATTTTTACCATGCCATCTTCATGCAAAAGTTGGCACAGCTGACACAGCACACATCCAAATCAACTTTGATATAAAACATTGTCTCAAGGAGCGCTTTTGACAACTTAACCATAGGCGGTGTGCGGGCAGAACTCCACATAACTAACTAGTACTTTGAAGGGTACTCGAGTTTTACGGGCATTACTTTGTGCATTATTATAGGCACATGTCATTAAATCCCAAGTTACAAAAGGAAAAAAAAAATGGCATAGAGAAGTGCTTTTGAGGCTCTGAAACTCATTTCTTAAAACATGTCTTCCTGACACTTCGATGCTTACCATTTTTGTCACATAAGGCAACTCAGAATGAATGAAAAATATGTCGCAGGCATCTGGCAGCGTCGAAGTGGAACCCAAGCTTACTCCCGAACTGAGAACGTGCCACTATTTCTTTAGAGCCACATCGTCGTCAGACAGGACATGAATGGCGGGGAAGTCTTTGAGTTGCCCACCTCTTACGTACGCTTCCAACCTTTGATAACAAGACGCCCAGCCATTCTCATCCTGGCAGTCGCTATAGGGGGTATTCACTGGACGCCATATTTGAGGGCGATGTTCAGAGCACATGCTCAAAACAAGCTCACATTATTAGGCTGCCGAAACCGGCAATCTCGATAGTGCGGAATGCATATGGCGAGAGAACTGTGGAAGCTCGCCGTTGGCACGTGTTTAGCATTTGCGCAATGAATACTCCCTATAGCTACTCGAAACGACTAGACGTAGGTGCGGTCGAGTCACCTCGAAACGACGCTGAAGCGGTTGCGGTCGACACCATGCAGCACATGGTAGTTCTTGTCGTCCCTGAGGTGCTTGTAGGCTGGCCGGATGTCGAGGATGTTTTGGTGCGCCTGCGCTTGGCGTAACTTCAGCGTCACCTTGATGACATCCCAACGAGACTTGGGGTGTCTCCTCTTGTGTGCCGTTGTCTGCTCTTCTGTTTCCTGCACACGAAAATGGGCAACAAGAGTAGTTGTCTTTTTTTTCTTTTAAGCCTTTGTCCGCGGCACACTGCTTAACGGTGCCAAGATGGTAAATACCAAAAAGGCACAAGTTTTCTGACATTATATATATAGAATATGATTTGAGGTGTTCTGCTTATCTCATACATCATATTTTGAGTTTATATGGTGCATATCTAGTGCCTCTATAAGGCATATTAATGCATGCCTAATGCGTCCATTGTGCATATCTATTCCAATTAAAGAGTATGACGCAACCAATACTGAAATGTTCACAGAAAAGACAATCACATGTTATGGGTTAAACTGATTGACAGTCGAAAATACGATTGAAATGGTGGCTAGGACATAAGGGATGGCAACTCACCTGCGTGGAAACCTGGTCGAGTATCTTTAATAGTCTTGTGCGAATAGTGGATTTTGAGCTCGAAGTGAATTCGAAGCGAATAGTGGTTTTGGCCGAATATTTTCGATTCAAATATTGAATAGTTTTTCTATGCCTTTCACTACCATAGCATAATGCTTAGACGAAAATCCAGCTAAACTTGTGAAGATTGTTCCCCTTGTTCATTTATAAGCCAAGTTTCATCTATTCATATTTATCAACTGTGACCTCAGAAGGTCTGATGTCGTGGGATGGTAAGTAAATTACAAGTTTGACATAAAATGAATTCTATAGAGATGGCCAACTATACCCTATTGAGTGAATTTACAAATCTTAAATATTCTTTCTTTAATCTCGAGTTAGAAAAAAAAGAATTGCGCATGATGAACGCAGGTTGTAAGGGCATGTCTGCCTAACATATACTCTTGCAAAACAGTCAGTTTAATTTTGAAGCTTTTACTAAAATCTAGATACTGTAAAACCCTTAATGTTTGCAAGCCCTTAATTTTCGCGAATTGAAAAATTCGCAAAATTTAAAGGCACGCAAAAATTTCGGTTCTTAAGAATTTCAGTGCAGGTCTCTGGAATTTGCGAAATTTAGTGGCCGTGACTATGTCCTTTTTGACTGATTTGCAAAAAATAGGGTTCGCGAAAATGAAAGGTTTTACAGTATACACATTCACAAAGTTTCCATTTATTTTCATGTACAGCCGGTATGCGTGCACCATCCCGCTTTGAAGGAATGGTTTTCTTCCAAGCACGCAATTGCGATATTCATACTTTTCCAAGTGTTATCGTGGCGGGCTACCCCGTTGAGTGCGCTTCTTGCCGAGCATTGATGTAATGTGGAGGAGCAACACTTGCGGAGCTCGCTTCCGTGGGTATCGCTTCCTCGCAATGCACCAGTGCTCGGTAAGATGCATACTCAATGGGGCTAACCCACTGCAATCAACACTGCGAAAAACGTGAATAGTGCAGTTCTTCTCAAAGCGAATATCGAATAGTGTATTATTCGAAACTACTATTCGAAATTTAGAATATTTGCACATCCCTAATCTTCAACTGGATGCAAGTTTTGTTCAGTATTTACAGTTGCTTTTACTAGATGGGAAAATATTTTTTTGAATTCATGCAGTGCCGAGATTTTGTGTTGTCTTTTCTGTTATTTTATTTCTCTATGTCCAGGGTTTAGATTACAATGTTCCCTAACAAGCTTGCTTGCATATTTTCGCTTCCAGTGTCCATACTTCTGTTTTGTGCAAACCTTCGCTGGTTCTTCCGTAACTGCTCTGCTGAAACGTTCTCCCTTGTGCACAAAAATAGCAAAACTCATTGCACCTAAAGCGGGTTTTAAAGGAGCTGTGCAACGATTTTAACGTAGAAAGAATTGGCCTCTCCTGCTTTTGATATTGTTCACCTTGTCACAAATGACAGAAAACACACCTTCTTTCATCGAAATGTTGCGATTCCGCCGCGTAATAGCGAGGCAAAACTTAGAATATTCCCCGACCTGCAGACGCGAGCAGCGGCCATGAGAAACACGCGGCGTGACGTCAATGGGGAATCTCGTAGAAAGATAGCAAGTTGTGCGAATACCTGCTCGATAAAAGGTAACTTTTCTATAAACCTTGTCGTTCCAACATATATATAAACGCGTCAAAAACCTATAATCATTGACAAAACTCTTATTATACGGAGTTTTAGTGGCACCATCTATCCTAGGTCCACAAAACCGTCAGCTCTCTACCGCGAACAGTCGCCAGAAACCAAATGGGGAGGGGGACAGGGCCGGACGGGTATGGCCGGACCCGGACGAGACTCCTCCTTTCACCAAATTGCTCGTGCGGCGCCCGCCAGCACATGGTCACGCGGTCGCGAGTGGATGAGTTCTCGCTGCTCACTGATGGCTCTAAAAAAAGAACTTTTCCGGAACCCCGCGCCTTCCCCATCAACGTCACTGCGCACGTGACTCGGAAGACGAGGTACGAGTTGAGAGGCGGCAAAAACCTGGATCTTATTCATTTTTTTAAATAAAAACTAGGGTATCCAAACAATATCTGTTTTCTGTAGTTCACTTCAGAAGTGTCAGGCATCAACTTCCACAATAATTTAATCAAAGCCCTGAAATTGTTGCACAGCTCCTTTAAAGTACATCTTGACGGCAGCTCATCCCGATTTCGGCGACCCCGCTTTTTTTCGGCTTGTGTTTTCCTACGGCAATTCACCTTCTTCTGAGTAGACCTCCGGGTGAGCCTCCGAGACGACGTTCCGTTGTTGAGTCCCCTCCGCGCGCGCTGTACGCTCCCGCCGTTGAGCTTGCAGGAGTAGCATCCTTCGGTCGAGATGACCTTGTCGGGGTCCTGGGGCCCGGCGTTGCCAACATCGTAGGCGGGTATCCCCACGTCCCCCGGCACGCCCTTTCCAGGACCCAGGGTTGAACTCTCGGGATGTGTGGAGAGACAGTGCCTGGTGGCAGGAGACAAACAGAATTAACTTCTAGTTTTGGTCTCCATTTCTTTATTTTTTTTTTTTGTCTCTTCGGTGTGACACTTGTTACAGCTGATATGCTGACTTGGTTGTACCATATTTTCCGGGCTATAAGACATACTCTTGTATAAGTCACACCGTCCTATAAACGGCTGTATTCAGGAAAAAGTTTGTGTATAAGTCGCACCTATATATTTGTACCAACAACCGGGATGGTGAAACTGCATTGAAAGCTTGCATACGTGTGTTACGATCACAATACACGTGCAAGCGAGAGAGTTTCAACATTCTCGTTAACAAACTGAACGAGAAATGTAACCCTCGTGGCAAGAAAGCTTGCAGTGCAGGTGCATGCATGTAGAAAAGTGGGTATATGTCTCACCGCTGCGTAGAACGCACCGACGGAGGTAAAAAAAAAAAGTGTGACTTGTACACCGGAAAACATAGTAGTTTAGTTCCCACCTTTGTTTGGTTTTTACATGGGCGGGTGTTGGACCAGAGCGAGCGCAGTCGTGAACGAGTTCCCCCGGAACCCGTGATGCACATTAAAGACCCGAGGTTGGCAGTTGTACTGCACCGGTCAAATCGATCGAGAACGGAGACGTGAGGCACCACGTGGATGCGGACTAATTTCCCGCCGTCTAGACATTCGTGCAACGGGTCTGACTTGGCTACAGTACCCTTGTCCAATGCGCTGGTATCCTTCCGGGCAACTGCAGAGGAAGCCTCCAGATCCGGTGGGCATGCACTCGAAGAGACACGGGCTGTTGGAGCATCCGCTGCCTCCTGTTCAGAGCACGAGGCCAAGGTTGCAGACAAGTGTCAGCCATCACCGTCTCTCTTTGATTCGCGGAGTGCTCTTACAAGCTCACTTTCATGGACTCAATATCTCGAAAGTTGCACGAGGCCTAGAGTTCTGGATGTCAGCAAAAGAGAGAGATAACAGTGGAGTCGCCAAAGAAGTGTAATTTGAGAGTCTAATTTTTCGTAAGCTCTCGCTATTTTCACGTCAAAATTTGCAGAGCGAGCACTCTCCTAAAATTATATTTCGTTGTATGTTTTTAGGGTGGCACAGGATTTATGAATTGCCCTTCTGTGCTACTGGAAATCGGCATTGTGCTTAAAGCTTTTGAACAGGATGAAAAGAAAGATATCTGCTAACTCCATTATTGACACCTGACATGCTCTTCTGTAACACATTTTTAACTGAATAATTTGTGTTTTGATTTGGTTGTTTCAACATACTGCAGTTACATTAGACTGCTGCAATTGAATTATTATTCACCTTTGAATTGGATTCAAAGCTATAAACTTCATTTGATTTGTACAGGCTGATATCGTGGGGGGTGGGGGGGGGGGGGGGGGGGGGGTGGACGTCGTATATTGAACTAAACATACCGTAGAATACCACAGAAGCACCCATTCAAAATTTGGAGATAGTTGTAATGTTGAAAAACTGGTGGATGGGCACCTCTTAGGGCTGACAGCAGAAATCCAGATGGTGGGTTGCACCGCTTTGCACTGGCTCACGCACGTTATGGGCATTATTGTGACTCGAGCGCATGCTCGGCATTTCACAATAATATGAAGCCGTCATTAAGGACTGCAGAAACTGTCCAAGTAGGCAAGCATATAAAAAAAAGACTGACATAACTGGAGGCTGAGATGAAGCAGGGTCGGGGGACAGGACACACATACAAGCTGACCTCTGTTGCCAATCTGCCCATGCTCTGTGCTGGCAGTAGGCCTCGTTTTTACTGTCTCGCCCGCATTTCAGCTTTCTGTCCGGTTTGAAAGAGAAGCTCAATTACCGACACAGCTGGTCATGATCTCGTCGAAACTGAATCCGTTGGGGCAGTTGCACGAGTAGCTGCCCACAGTGTTGACGCAGTTTGCCGTTCCACACGGCTGCGACAGACATTCGTTGTCGTCTGCAAGAGAGCAGTGACATACTATTAACGGGAAAATCGTAAAATTGCGCAGTCTCCCGCTTCTTGTGACATTTATGGTTTCTCTCTAGGGCCTATCTTGGTGTGGGAAACAGTGTAATAAATAAGGGTGTACAAATAGTGGATCGGATTGAATACGTGATCATTCGTAACTTTCGCAGTGCGAGGGGGACACGACATGTTGGCTCTCTTTACAGCGTTGAAACTAGGAATGACACTGCGCTATTCGATTCAAACCACTATTAGGACACCCGTAGTAATAAGGAGACGTGACCAGACAACTCTAGGAGCTGCATTACAACAAGCGTTCTATACTGTGTTCACGGGAGGGTACCTCGCCACCAGATGGCAGAGCAAACTTGCATCCAATAGCAACAGTACCCGGTGCTCTGCCACGTAGCTGCTTGTTCCTATGCTGAGAAGTGTGCACAAGGTAAAAGCCTTTTGAACATTATAGTGAAGTACTGTTCAGTCGTGCGATGCATAATGTACCACGAGGAGGGAGGCACAGTTCAGATTGTTATGCACACTGTGAGCAAGTGGTAACTAGTTTGTAATTCCCTACGGTGACGCTTTGGGAAACATTGGACATTGTCAAGCCGCACGAAGCCGAACCGTTCGGTCACTTCTGTCTACATTGTGGTCTGGACCCTAGTGTGGTTGTCCTAGTATACTTCCCCTCTCTACACTGGCCCCACTCGAGACAACTTCCAAGTTTACTGACTGTATTTAACACGGCAATACCGATTTGAAGTCATCTTCCAAGCTGGAGGTTTACTCTGAATCATCTGTTGTTAAAGGGATGCTGAACCGAAATCTGAATTCCCCAAAACACGCGGCAAAAGCGTGCAGCGGGATGCTACAAACACCAAAACATCACTCGTGCAGCGATATCTTGAATGGATGACCGTATTTTTAAAAAAAAGAGCCGCATTTGGCAGGAATGTTGACGTGATGTTTCTCCGAGAAGGAGAGGGAACAGCCTCGCGTCTTCTCCGCCTCGCGGCCATGAGGGAGCAAAGCGAAGAGAGGAGGAAACTAGGTATCTTGACGGTCACGCGCCTCGTCGGCTTGGTTCAATCTTGACTTCTTTTTCCAAAAATATGTGCGTCCATTTGAGATATCGCCTTACTAGTATAGTGTTGTAGGGATTGTAGCGTCCGGCCTACATCTCCAACCTCGTTTTTTTTTAATCCAAATTTCGGTTCACCATCTCTTTAAGGTACGTGCGGTGTCTCGCTTGGTCATGGTGGGAAGGAAACAAGCCTGTGCATTTTATTCGTAAAGGTTTTGCAATTGAAGGAGGTACTCCGCCGACTTCTTACCAAACTAACTAAATCTGAATACCCGGGTGTTGGTCTTTCCAACAGGCTCTTCGGTGTCAATCAATAAAACAGCAAATGAAAGCAGTGCGAAAATCAACATTCAGATTTTCCGGCGCTTTCCAGTCACGGAATGCCACTGGCAGGCAGGCTTTCAGGTCGGCCAGGCAGTCCGGAAAAGGGACAGTGGCACATTTGTTTTGCGCTGCTGAGCTCACGCTGGAGCGAGCCCCCACAGTAGTAATTTCACCTTATCAAGCTTCTCGTAATTTTTTCGGAAACAAGTTCTACTGCTCAAAGAGTGAACCCGTGCCAGCCACTAGCATTTTGCCAGTACAGATTTTAGTTGTAAAACAAATGGCAAGGACCAAAATTGTAGGAAAAGCATTTCTTTGGCACAGCGTTTTGGGGCACAAGTTCGGCTGTATCTATAGGCGTGTCGAGCCAGTTTTAAAGCAAATCAGCGACTAAAAGAAGAAAAAAAATAATGACTGAAAAAAAGAGGGCGAGCTTGAACACTGACCCAGACACTGGTTCCAGTAGGGGTGCTGCTTGAAGCCTGGTGGGCATGTGCAGCGGTACGAGCCTTCGAGATTCTCACAACCGTGCGGACACCTGCTCGGATCCGCACATTCGTCCGTGTCTTGGAAGAGAGGAAGAGGCTTTAGCTGCTGACATTTGTACTCTGGGAAAGCTTTTTTTGTGACTGCCTTCAATGTTAGTTTCATTGTGACAGTTAGTGTCACAGAGCACAAAAATATTTTGTGTGAGCTAGATTCCATTTTTCAGCCTAATTTGACCAGTTGTGAAATATGGCTAGAGATAAAGATGGAAAGAGGAACAATCATGAGCGCAATCTAGAGTATTTGCACAGGTGCTGCTAATGTTAGTTCTGCAATCACCCAAAACTTTTTTTTCTAATCGGTAACTTTGTCTAAGTGCTAGTGATTCATCAGTTTTCGACTCTGCCGATATGTTCTTTCGATTGAGTTTTGGTTATTGAAAGCAATTTTTGCAGCGTTACCGACACCGGAAGTCTTAACCATAGTGCAAGTTGACAAATGTGCTTTTGGAAAAGGTCTATAACGGAGGTTATTACAAAATATCCCCCCCTTCATTTCATTGAACAGCAGCCGACAAAAGTGTTCACTAAGACCACCCAAAGGCTGGGGAAGAACACAACTGCAGTGGGACACAACTCACAGAATGTGTTTCACTAAGCCTGACATATTTGATTCATCAAAGGAAAGGGGTGCCATGAATACCAGTGGCTAGAAAAGGACATCGGATCTAAAAGATACACCTACCCTTGCAAGACTGCCCTGAAGCATCCGTGATGTAGCCACGGGGGCAATTGCACCTGTAACTTCCCGGCATGTTGGTACATGTTCCACTGGGAGCGCAGAGGTGCGGTTGCTCACGGCACTCGTTCACGTCTGTCGCAAAAAGAGATAGTTCGGCACAGTAAGGTAAATAGTCCTTACGCCAAATTACCCAAGTACCAACGAGAACGCTGGGAATGTAGGTACATGCACTGCACGTGCTCGCCTACTCTATAGAAGGTTTGAAGCAAATAAGTTGTCGTAGAACGCACATGCAAGGCGTGGTTTGTTTTATGTTCTGGCTTTGGAACAGTTACTGCGGCAGATACCAGCACGTGCCATGCGTACGACTTCACTCGCAGTGTGCTCTCTGGTGCTCAAGTATTTAGCAAAAGCTCTATTTATTAAGGTCTTGCATTGGTTGGAGACCTACCCAAGCACTGGCTCTCGAGTACGTTGTAGCCGTCTTTGCAGGAGCATCGGTAGCTTCCCTGAGTGTTGATGCACGAGTGCTCGCAGTTGTGTCTGTCCGTCGCGCACTCGTCCACATCTGAAAATGCATCCAGCACGAGCCTCTTTGAACTTGATGCCTACTTGCGAAATTTGCAAAATGTGCTTGCTGCATCAGCACAGCAATGTCCCCAGAAACGACGCTGCTTGGGTCTGGACGGTTCGCGTCGACCGATAAGCCGCTTCCGCAGTAACTGCCAGTGTTTCTGCATGGCAAGCCCTCGTCAGCCTTAACTTTCCACAATAGAAAGTGCTAGCTGAGACAATTATAGAGAAAGTTAGTGAACGAATAATAGATAATTAGTTTTCCATGGTCGCCGGCACAACGAGAATGGCTTTTCAAACGCCCGTCCCCCAGCATGCGCTTCATGCCTTCCACTGTGCTTCGGCGCCTCGTGAGCGCTCGAGGTGCATGAGACGCCGAAGCACTGTCGAAAGTAGGAAGTTCGCACTGGGTGTGGGACAACTGAGGCTCCTCCCTGGTGTTTGCACTTTATCAGTGACCACAGTTGAACCTCGATTTAGTGAAGTCACAGGGACCCGCTAATTATTTCATTAATTCGGGAACTTCGTAAAATCGAGGAAGGGAGACCTCGCGCATAGGCTACGTGGGGAATCCAAATTTGTTTGTTAAATCGGGAAATTCATAAAATCGGGTTTTGTTAAATCGAGGTTCAACTGTACCATGTCACACTCGTGCCTTTACGTCTATGGCGGTCAGTAACTTTGCCTGAGGGAATTCCATTATCTCAAGAGTCCTGTCCATTATGAAATTGTTTTCAGTTGAAAAAGAAAGACCTAGGAAATACATCCTCGCAGAGTTGTTTATCCTAATCTCATAATAGTCTGAGACCTGGTGCACTCTTGCATTTACGTTCTGGCTAAGTTTATGTCGAACTAGAACTAGGTCTATGCAATACGTATTCACACTTTCCTGGTGTGGCCAGCCCAATGCTTCCCTCTGGCTATTTTTTTTTTAATTACTGATCTAGTAGAGCAGTAACTATATGGACAGCCCCTATTAGAGAGTTTTAGTAGATTACTTTGATACCTTCGATAATGATATGCAATAATGATACGACGCATGTGCAATCTGGCGGAGCATCAGGTATCATTGTCGGAAATATCGGAATTATCTACTAAAACCCCCTGTCCGCATTAGTGTTTCGAAACTTGCGGATAAACTACTTCACCTTTGCAGGAGACTTTGTCTTCTGCTAGGACATAGCCGTCATCGCAGGAACAGATGTAGCTGCCCTCTGTGTTGAGACACTTGGACTTGCACGGCGAAACCGGGAGCTCACACTCGTTGACATCTGCATACCCCCAAAAGTGTTCCCCAAACCAGCGTGTGACTCTATGTGAAGTTGTACGACTGACTGTATATAGTAATGTTGGCTCGCGTCACCCATTATCAAGCTATTAGGCATAGCTATGATAGGCAAGCCGTTAGGCGTAGCTTAGCATCGGTCGTCGCAGATTTCGCACAGGAGAGTTGTCTGTCACCGCCAAGCTCTCCCACAGTACCAGTACTGATACTACAGATGGTCTTTTGAAAAACCTTTGTTTGAAATTGGTGGAATCATTTTGAACAAATGGCGACACCACAGAACATAATTTACCTAAAATTCGTAAAAATTTGGTTCTGTGCTCACCGACACAGCGTGTCCCCGTGGGGTCCGTCTTGTACCCCCGGTTGCAGAGACAGCGGTACGAGCCCTGTGTGTTGATGCAGCGCCCGTTGTTGCACAGGTGCGGCAAGGTCTCGCATTCGTTCACATCTGCATCAGTGCCGTTTGGATCAGTTTCGTACCGACCAAGGCAATAGGTCACTCGAGGGTCCGCGGCCTAAGATTAGGATTCACGATTGTCTCTCGCAGTCATTTGCAGAAGTAGGAGGCTAAAAGAATTGGCTGTCTCCTCAGAGTTTTCCTAAGGCGTTCCAGATGCAGAGGGGGAGCGCAAAGATGCTTAGCACTTTGCGCTCCTCCTCTTGCACTCGCAGTAAGGAGGACACCAAAGGGCACACTGCTAGGGCTTTGTGAATATACAAAAAGCTATCGCAGTATCACATGACACTGTGGTGCGATTCAAGCTACGTCTGCAGACACAAAATTTTCAAGAGCTAGCCCTATAAATGTCATCCATTAGGGGTGTGCAAATATTCAAAACTTCAAATACTTCTGGAATAATGCTTGCTGTTCAATCCGATTCGCTTCACACTTTCGCTCTTTGAAGTAGAGTTCTTCAAATATTCGAAAACTACGAATAACGAGGAACTCGCTGATTAGTGTCAACCGCCGGTCGAGTTCCCCGTTTTGCTTTTGGACTGCGCAGTGTGGTTTTGAGCTTGGCAAACCCAAAAAACTAACCTAAGTGCCTTTCTTTTTCTTCTTGTAGGACGTACCGGAAAGTTATTTGCACGCGGTGTGCGATCTGTCCTTCGCGTGTCACGATGTCTAGATTGTGGAGTTGGCGAAGTGGTCGTGGCGTGAACGCTGCGATAGATTTTATGAAGAACTGCGATTTGCAGCGGCATGTACATCGTCATAAGCACAAACGCCACGAACCACACTCACTGCAGTCCTTCCTACAGTCAATACAGTAGCCAAGGTGCTATGGATTTGGATATGGATTTATGGCTGATCTCGGCTATCCGCGATCGCTGGCTCGTGTTATTTTGCGCTTGATTTTCCGGTTCATAAGTTTTCCAGTATTCCTTTTGTTATTTATTTCTACCAGTTTTCACTGGTAACAGTGACAAACTTGCTCCCTCTGCCAAAAAAGAGCCGTATTCTTAATTTACTGCTTCTTTGTGGTGCTGTCTCTCGGCAGAACTATTGCACGCGGAAAGAAATTGCCCAAGGTCAGTGCGGCTGCGTGGCGCAATCTCCAACTCTGTTTCGGCCTGCTGACCCACCTCCGCTTGTGTACTTCCGTTTGTGTTCACGTGGTTGTGTTCACCCGCGTAAAAAGAGATTGCACAAAGTCGGTGCAGCTGCGTGACACGATCTTCGACTTTGGCGTAAAAAGAGATTGCACAAAATCGGTGCAGCTGCACGATGCGATCTTCGACTTTGTATTGTGGCTTGCCAACCCTCCATCTCTTGTGTACTTTCGCTCACTTTCCGACCCGCCTCTGCTTGTTTACTTCCATTTACGTTCTGTAACTTCACTCCTTGAATGGTGTTTTACTGACTCACCTTTTATTTCATCTGCTTTTTATCAGTCACATGTGTGACATTTTTTTTATTGCAATAAAGGTAACGTTTTTATAAATGATAGCTGAAAAAAAAAATCCAGTTGTGTTTTGATTGAACATTTTTGTTTATTTCACATCAGATAGAAAATATTTGTTTTCAAAAATTTTCTTATTCGAAAATATTCTATTTGATCTGATTCATAACCCTTATTATTTTATTCACTTCACTTCGAAAGATTTAGATATTTGCACACCTCTACAGATCCCTTTAATTTCTTGTGTTTTTGTAGAGTGGTCATTGCAAGACGGCAAACACCATACCTTGCCCGTCCTTGTTGAATCCCGTGCCGAGTTCGCATAGCGAGTTAAACTCTTCTGTAAAGATAAGGACACATTCTTGAGCATTAAAACATTCGAACCAAGGACAATAAAGCAAGTTCGTGCGATTCGGAACAAGGAACTGACGCGTGTTCCGCTGCGGACACGCTTCACAGTGAGAGCCCCAGACTATGCCGACGCTGCAGCAGCATTCGTCGCGCGACGTCAGACCCAGCTGGCCGTTTGAGTTGGGGCACGAGCTTGCTGTTTGGTAGCAGGTTCCAAGTCTGTTGTCTGCAAGTAGAGCAAGAAAGGTGCAACACAGAACGTCTTCGTGAATCGCAGGTGCGAGACGCTGCTGAAAATGACAACTTGGAAATGTACAGGGTGGCCAGAGCAGATCCTCGCCGTAAGATGAACAGGAAAAATCGACGCCTGCACAGGAAGGTGCTAAAACTTTCGCCGAACGTGCACTTCTACTCTGCGTCACTAGTTGCGTGCATTACGGGTGATGGCAGTGCCAAGCAAGGGAAGAAAGGGCGAGCGCTAGGAAGGCTGGGGAGGAGGAGAGACCTCCTCTCCTCTCTTACGTTTGTAGTGCTCTCTCTTTCTCCCCTCGCCCTCCATTGCCCTCCTCTCCCATTTGCCTTCCCAGTGCTCGCCCTTTTTCTCTTAGCCCTGCGTTGTCTTCCCCTGCACTGCACACAACCAGCGACACGGAGTGTAGGAGGTGGATTTCACCTTGTGAAATTCCCAAAAGTAGCTCCTTTCCTGTGAAACATGACAGCAACAGCAAAGGTTGGACAATTTCACAGACGATTGAGTTAGAAATGTTTCAATAGCTTGTTGGTGTCCTGTCTCACAGGAAGGGAGCTACTATGCCTTGAAATTTCACAAGCTAAACTCCACCACCTAAATGCGCATTTGGTGTCAAAGATTGAGCTTTCCGTGTGCATGTCGCAATCTTTCCCCGGTTTGTTTTACGGCGCTAGGATTCATTGTAGCTCCTCTGTACAATGATCTCTTTATCCCTGATATCCACCTGCTTGCCATTCACAATGAGCACGATACACCATTTCATTCTTAGTGTGCAACGTTGTTAAAGCTACTGGCACAAACGCATGGCTCAATATAGCGCCCCATTTGCACAGAGTTTGTGCCTATCAAACAAACCAAGACGCAGGCTCATGCCAGCACCTTTGACAGCATTGCATTCTAATGAAAGAGCATATCTGTCGGCAACTTTAGAAAGGTGTTGGAAACTACAGGAGCTTTTCGTATGACTACTGCATGTATGATGATAGGTAATGCCCATCTATTCGTCAAGGTGAAATCCTGTTAGTGTGAAGACGTGATCACCAATTTTAGTATTTTATGAAAATTGATCAGAGTGAGAAACTATAACTTTAATCATAATTTAGACTTCATACCATATCCCAGCTGAATGTTTTGATAGCCTAAACATATAAGGTGATGCATAGAAGTAATTTCTATTATCTGCGTGTATCTAACAACAGTTGTGTTGCCCAGGCACGGTTTGCCGTGCCTGGGCAACACAAACCCCAGTTTGTGTAACTGAGTTTGTTTGCATGGGGCAAGTTTGGTAAACTACACGACTCAAACAAACTTAGGTCAACTCTTTTTCGAAGGCTTTCTAGGGTCGATTAAAACACTGCGTCCAATGTTGTGAGATGTTCCGTCTACTGCTTTTAAACTCAAGATCTCTGGGTTCTGCAGCGCGAGCTTTCGCTACATGTGCTCCGACCACCGATTCCCCCGCTGATTCTCAACTGCTATTTTCTTTCCAAACACTGTTCATAAATAAATAAAAAATGCATCGACACAAAAGAAGAATAAACAAAGGAAACGAGACGGGGCATCCCTTCATCAAACCGTGACTGACTGATTAATCGGTGAAAATTCACCATTGGAAATACGCTTCGTGAATTTCTCTAGCGGTCTTATTTGGATGCTTGTCCAATATTCTAATGTTATTAAACTGCAGAATACGGCCACATTCATTACGGTGCATGGCAAAGCGCCCCAACGAAGCACTCCGTGAGGACAGACGGTGCTCACGTGCCCCGTCATGTCTTTTTTTTCTTCTTTTTGCGCTATTTTATCTATTGTTCTCTTGTTACGTATTGGTGAGGAAACGGGAGCAAGGGCGTACTCACCTAAACACTGCTTTCCGTTGCTGCTAGGCTCAAAGCCGTGGTAGCAGCGACAGCGATAACCCCCGTGTGTGTTCATGCACTCTCCGTTCTGGCAAATGTCGGGATTTTCTTGACACTCGTTAATGTCTGCAGTGAAGGGGATTGCTCAAATGACTATCGGCAGTTTACAGCAGGCCACTTTTCAAAAGCGAATGATTTATGAACGAGACACTATTGCGTGTATACAGGCTTTCAGAGGTGAATGCGGTGCAAACATGTCTCGGCATCCTGGGCTTTATTCCAAAGCCATTCACGCGAATCTGTATCGTTTGCTGCATCGCTACAAACAGCTGAATTCAACATCTGTTGCAGTGACAGCATAAGTAGTTACTGAGTGGTTATTTAGTGATGGTGGTCATTAAAGCACCAATCAACTGAATCAGATTATTCTAGACATTGTAATTTGTCAATAGCGAATGTTTGCCTGTCTACTTTAGTCATTTTCGCTAAATACTATGCAATCTCGTAGAGTTTCAGACGTCAGTGATGTCGTGCAGTAGCTAGTAAGGCACCAATGAGTATAACCGTATCAATTACACACAATTAGTTTAACCTGCTCGCCCCTCTAATGATGTTTGGGAAATGATTGGGAAAGGCCATGCCAGACTAAGCACTACAGTATCTATCAAAATCCCCATGGATATATTATGTAAATATTATATTAACCAAATTATTATATATTGTAAAACCTTTAATGTTGCCGAGCCCTTAGTTTACACAAATTTTGCAAATTGAAGGATTTGCAAAATTTAAGGGCATGTCAAAATTTCGGTCCTTAAAGGGACACTGATAGAGTATTTATGCTCGCCAAGGTTTTTATTTTTACATTGCACGTGAGAGCCCAACTACCCAGAAAACAATCCTCGGCTCGAAATTCGTTTTCTTTTCTACCAAAAACAGCCGATCGAGAACTGGCCGGTTTGAGTCGCGCTCACTCTCTTATCTGTGGTCTTGTGCCGTTTTCTAAGGTTTAGACACAACTGCCAAATATAATCAAAGTGGTAGGTCATCGAAGGTACACACACAATATTAAAAATAGAAAGAAATATGATACATATTTTTTGTGGCTTCTAAAGAGTTGCAAATGTGTTGTTTGGGGGAAAAAAAAATATTACAGCCACGTGACTTCTGCCACCTCTCTCCTCTATATTTCTTCTTCCTCCCAAGCCCAGTTACGGTTCCGGTTTCGAGCAGTTGCGTTTTTTTACTTTATTAAAAATATATGTGATGCTGTAGCAAAATATTGATTGAGTAGTCTTCTGACACCATAATAAATCGCCTGGCAAAAAAAAAAAAAAAAATATTTGGGGGTGTGTCAGTGTCCCTTTAAGAGTTTCAATGCAGGAGTCTGGAATTCGCAAAATTTAGTGGCCGCGATTATGTCCTTCATGACCGATTCGAAAAAAAGTAGGGGGCACAAAAATATGGGTTTTACAGTATTCATATCTTTACTGGGCCTTGGTCTGGCAACAGCCAAGGAAATAACTGCAATCAGCTTATTACTCACAAACTCCTGTTGCAGTAGAGCTGCTGTTCTAATACATATCTTTTAATGGGAAAAATATCCCTAGGCATTACATCATGGTTTATAGTAGTGTGCTTATTGAATCCATACCTGTGCAGTCGTCTCCGCGGCCAGTTGATCTCATGCCATCGGGACATATGCACTGAAACGTCCCCACAAGGTTTTTGCAAGCATAGCGACAGCCGTGATCTCCAGATGCGCACTCGTCCAAATCTGAAAAAAAAAAAAAAAATTGGTTTAGTTTTATATGTTTTATTTATTCTACTTTGCCACGCATGGATAGTTTAGGGCTCTGGTTGCATGACTGGCATCTAAAAAAGCACACTAGAAGCTTCAAAGGGGCTACTGAAAGGCCACCATGGCTGCTAGCGTACTAGCACATCTTTATAATTGCTAGTATCTGGGAATAATCTTTAAGTATTTGGGAATACTCTACTATATGCAGATGTCTGAAAATCAAAACATGAAGTCTAAAAACAAAAAATACCATTTCATATTTTCATTTAATAACCAAATTGGGATTGGGATATTGTCTTAGCCAAACTGTAGCAGAGAACAGAAAAGAGTGTCATTCGTGAAGTTGACTTTATAGTGCGATTAAAAAGAGTCTTATTTTACCATTACGATTTGTTTGCCAAGCAGCTTTGCAATAGAATATGTAGCTTTATAGCACAATAGGTGTTATTACAGAGAAAACAAGTAGCTGTACAGTACGATCTGTCTGGAGAACACTTACCTTGGCAATGCTTCCCATCTGGTGCTAAAGTGTAGCCATAGGGGCAAGTGCAGCGAAACGAGCCAGCAGTGTTGAGGCAGCGGAAGGCGCAGTCGTCAATGCCCAGAACACACTCGTTGAGATCTAGGTGCAAACAAGAAAACAAGACGTAAAATAGCTCACGGGCATTTCGGTCAACCCTGCGTTTGCTCAGGGTTTCCGTTCAGGAGTACAGACTTTGCAGTCCAGTCATTTGCTCGCTGTCTTTCCTACCGCTTATTTCTTGTGGCGAAAATAACATTAGAAAAGGAGACAAGGTGTGGCTCTTGGTGGCAATGTTCTAAAAGCATGCGCTCTTTCGAGTCTTCTTGCTTTTTCTGGCTACCTGACTGCCGATTGACCTTCTCCCGTCCGCTGCTTGACCGTCTGCTACAGGTTGCAGCACGGGCATGTACTGTCTGTCCCCGCTAGTTCGCATTCAGAACTTCTTTAATCATCTTCACGTGTCGTTTGTTGACATTTTCAATGATGACCTCCTGTCGTTCAAGAGGAGCATTTCACTCTTTTTATAGTGTGTTTTTGCAGCGCTGTGTTCTGAATATTTTTTGAGCACTACCGTTATAGGCCCATGGCTGTTGGTAGGCACAATAAATAAAAAATAAAAAAATACTTCATTATTATTCCGACCGTAGTCGAAGGCATGAATGCATACAACCACAAAAAAGTGTGGGTTGCTGGCCCTCTTCCATAACCGATTAAGCTGCAGAGGAACGCAATGACATTGCACTTTTAACACTGTCTGATTGGTCCCTTCAACTGTAGTGTCCCCTGTGTCCATACTTAAGGTAAAACAAGGTATAGAGATGACAAATTTAATTTTCTTTTTCCCGACATTACGTGTGGTGCCACCTGGAGCCGCTAGATAGGTTGCGCTTGAAGTATAGTTACTTCATTCCTCGGTTTTCTTGCGAGTGCCACCATTTTCGTGCTCAGTGTAGGACGGGTTCGACTGGTGGTTGCTTTTGGTTTGAAAATGCGGCTTTCCGAACTTAGGAGTAAACTTAGGAGTATTGTTTTGCTTTTTCGTGGACTTTGACATTGCAGACAACCGATAAGTTGTCTTATCACATAAGCTACAGATAAGCTGATAAGCCACAGTCTTTCAGATAAGCTGCAGATATGATAAGTTGATAAGTAGGATTCCCAGTTTTCGGAGTTTATTTTTCGTCAAATTCAAAGGATACTTTCTAAGTTTATTTTTTGCTGCAAATTCAAAGTTTACCGGGGTTTTTTATTTTTTATTTTTTTTTTATGTTTTTGAAATTTGGGACTTTTCATTCATTCATTCATTCATTCATTTATTTTTCGTGCTCATGAACGGCGAGTAGCCTATGTAATGATGCACAGAGTTAATTTTGCAATGTTCTTTATTTAAAAAAAAAATATATATATATATATATATTATTTGCTTGTAGACATGTGCTAGATTAAAAAAAACAAGCTTGTATCGATTTATATTTTTTTAGCTGGATTTGGTGTTGGTGCCATTGCTATTGGCAATACTAATTTGTCCCATGACAAAGATTTTAAAAAAGTGCTGCCTCAATTAATGTCGAGGCAGCTTGCACTGGCTGGAGCAGAAAAGGGAAGAGTGGAAGCTTCCATAGAAGCCTCCACTCTTCCCTTTTCTATGAAATCTATGGTTCACTGCTTTCATTGTTACAAAAACACAACGCCCTCCTCCCTCTCAGGAGCACAAATAGCATGGCCCAAACTAGAGACCAGAACAATGGCCTTTGTCATGACCCAAAAGACCTGTTGTCCTGACTGAACCGCAACGAGATAACCAGCAAGATTCCTTTTGATAATTGTCCGAGATTTGAAAGAAAACTCGGGTGACATTTTCTCAAAACCATTGACCCTGGGAGCCTTAAGTGTAAAATACCCGTCTTTATGACATTGGTACATCAAATTCGGAGTTTATCAGATAAATTCGAATCAACGAAAATTCTACCGGCGGGTGTTCTTCGGAGTTTTTCGGATTTATCCGAAAACATCAAACCCTACCGATGAGATAAGATAAGCAAATAAATCAGATAGGCTGCAGACAAAGGTGGCTCAAGCGTTCGGGCTTTGAAGCGTAGCTTATTTAGTAATTCTAGCACTACTGATGCACTAGGACCTTCGAGCATCTATGTGAAGGGCAGGATCAATAGTGCCTGGTAATGCCAATGCCGCATCTTTTGACTTTTGAGCTTTCAAAATCTTTTCAGTGTTTCGCCGAAGTGGATTACCTTCGCAGACATTTCTTATTCCGGGTGTGAATCCTTCGCCGCAGTGGCACTCAAAGCCTCCCAGCGTGTTTGAGCAGGTTCCATTCCCGCATATCGTCCTCTTCTCTGCACACTCGTCTTCGTCTGGTTCAAAAGCAATGTTAAAGACACCGTGAGAAATAATGCCAGAAACACTGGCGGAACTGAACGTCTCCGATGTTGAACTGAAAACCAGAACTTGAAATAAAAGATGACATTAAGCTGCATTCGCAGCTTTTTGTTCTGGTTTCCCCACAGTGTGTTTGGGGCAAAACAAAGTTGTTTATTTTATTACTAGTAATATTATTATTTATGTCATTATTTCTATTCGTGACATGAGCTTATTCAGGGAACTCAGGAAAGCGCTAAAGTGCTTTTTGTTGATTTTAGTTGGTGCCTTATCCCCGTGCACATCGGGCCTGAGATTGCATTAGTCTTCTAGTTCAGTTTGATTTTCTTTTGCTTTTTGAATATTTGTGCTGACATAAGTTTTTTAGGGTGTCATCTTAGAAGCCCTCTATTATAGACATTTGATACTGGAGGGTTAGAATGTGCATATTATTATTATTATCATCATCATCATTCATATTTTAAAAAAGTTCTTATTGATGCAATACAGTTCAATGGACACTTAGAGAAATAAGTGAGTATAACTCATTTCTCACGGTATAAAATAACCCACAGTGCTTGGGCAGTACAAACTGGCTTGGTTCATAGGCATTTTGTGAAGGCTTCCTACCTGAGAATAATGAGGCGACTTACGGCTGCAAGTGAGCACGAGCTTACCTAAGCAAATGTGTCCCGTAGGGTCGAGCTTGAACCCGGGCTCGCACTGGCACCGGTAGGAACCGTCTGTGTTGATGCATTCTCCATTCTGGCAGATGTCGGGACTCATCATGCACTCGTTGATATCTGCACGGGGAATGAAAACCAGTTTAGACGAGCTGTGCTATGTTTGTCCTCAGGGTCTGTGAGACACAAGTCAATCCTTGTATGACATGGCATGCAAGTTTGCAGATAGCGGATGGGAGGTGGGCATGGTTCATTACCGCATAAGACGCATGCCCAAGATACACCACTTGGCTTTCAATTTCTCTGTGGATGGAATATGAAACTTGTATGCTATGTCCCTAATAAGTAAAAGCTGTTCTGAATGTTAGGCTCAGGGTTTGTACAGTTCCTCAAAATCCTTGAATGCTCGGGATTTCGATAAAAGCCTTTCAAAAATGAACCTCAAACAATGGCTGACGTTCTCGAGGTCCCCGAGCAGTAAATTTTCTTTTTTTTTAATTGATGCCGGCTGACTTTACAAAGCCACATAGACCGAACTGTGTGCACTGAGTGAGAAGGGTTGATTATTCTCTGTTTTAGAACCTCAAAGTTGGTATGCTGGTTTGCATGCATTTAGTCTCTTTAATTTACACTTTTGTTATTGTAATCGTCCATTACTCTCTCCTCCCTCCTGGTGTAATTGGGTTTGGGTCCCCCACCACTTCTGTTGATCCAGGAGGAATCTCGCAACATTATTGACTGAGAACCACTGCTCTAGATGATTAGGTACAACAACAGTGTTTCAAGAACAACAAAAGATACGCTGTTACTAATACCAATAGCTATCCCCCCCAAAAAGCAGCCTCAGTTTAACATTTTTTAACAACCCCGTTTTACAAGCGGACAATGATCCAGAAGAAAAAAAAAATATTGAATGGTGCCACACTATTTTTCTGAAACGCTAGTGGATCACCTATCTAAAGATCAAACCATATCCTGTTGCTCATCAGGTTTTATTTGTTCAGCTCGAGGTTGAAACATGGCACCATCTGCATAATTTTTCATAGCATATTAATCCTATACATTCTTTAATTCCCTAATTAATCCACTCTGTCATAATGCCCCAATAGGTCCCAGATGAAGAGGACCTCATGTAAATGAATAAGCTAATATTCAGCAGGAAGTTTGCCGGAAATAGTAGACAAGATGATTGCATTCTCACCAATTGTTATGCCGTCCTCTTCGATAAAACCAAGGCCAGCTTGGCAGATGTGCCTAAAGGTGGCTTTATTGGTAGAAAAAAAAAAGAAAGTAAACAATCCTTATGAAACTGAGTTTGCCTTACAAAGATCAACAGAACTAAGCACATTGTTTTCAAAATTTTTATCAATATCATGTAAGGTACCAGAGTCGTTCATTTTAGGATAACATTGCACTACATGGTTAGTCCGATCAAAACATTGGCACTTGTTCACAATTTACACAGAAACGTTATTGATAAAAGCCAAAATTTACCACATTCGTTACGGTTCAGAATTAGCGCCCCACAACAACAGTAATTCCAATGACAGCCTGATCTAAAAAAAGGAACACAAAAAAAAAATATAAAGAATACTGGCTATCACTTGTTTGTGCTAACTGCATTGTACTTTGTACATTTACTATGACCTGCTTGAGAGCTCAATAGGTATGGCTAGTAGAATTATCTTTTCAAAGTTTCTGACTTGGCCGAGTTTATTTTATCTATATCATGGAAATTTTTCTCCAATTGCCTGAAGACACCAAGAGCCAGTCATAACATTATTGATATACCCTATTCCCCTCTTACATAAAATGTCCATATTTGGACCATTGCATGACTCATGATCAGCATGTGTAGGTCATGAGACATTTAATGAAACACTTTTGAGCATGCATTTCCATTGAAAGAAGACCTGTATTTGAATCTGTAGAATGCAGATAGACTTGCTTGGTTGATTTGCCCTGTAAGTGTGAGAGTCGGTTATAACAATTATACCAAACGAAGTCGGTTATGTTATAACAGACTGGTTATAACATAACCGAAGTCGGTTATAACAAAATAGTGGCTACAGCAAAGCCATCACTATTTCTCATTCTCGTATGCAGTTTTTTAATGTATTTCTGTCTGTTTTTAGCGAATGAAATTGAGCAGCTGCCTCAGTAATAGCGAAGAAACATTTTGGAATAATTTTATAAAATATTGAAATTCGGAAAGTGTTCCAAGTCGCAGACCTGCGCACTTTAATGCTGCGGCCGAGTAGCTACCCAGAACGGGCCGCAGACGATGCCGCAAAGGTCGCTGGCGGCAGCATCTGCATCGTCGTCTGCTCCCCGCTCCTCATCTGGGAAGCGGCTTTTCCGCATCGCACGCATAGAAGCTGTTGTGGCATGCCGATAGGGGCGTTCGGAGCACTAGCAACAACATACCGACGGAGAAAGCCTAGATTTAAGAGGCGGAGGAACTCCAACCATGGAGAGCATTTGCAATATATAGTGGTGGATGCCTCCTGGCAGATTGGTGCAAGTGTGCCTGCATTAGGTTGCATGTGGCCAGAGTGGCTAAGGAACCGTGCTTGCAGACGGTGAACGCTTTTGAGTCTTGACTCCTTGCAGGCTGCAGCTTGTTTTGCAAACACTGCACACAAACCACATGATCCAGATTGAGTAGTTGCCCCCTCTCTTCAATCTGGGCTTCCTGTACCGATGAAACACGAACTTGGGAGCCAACTTGGAGCCATGCGCACTTCTTTCTTTACTTCGGATTCCCTGTCGGCATTGCTGGTTTGTGTGGTCGCTCTCTGCGCAAAAATTAACTTCGCTCAAGCACCGATTCAGCAAATCATCGCCACTCAACGATGGAGAGTCCCGGCACTGCCAGCACCTCGATGGGGAGGACGAAGGCAATCTCCTTGAAACAAAAGCGTGCCATCTTGGACGAAGTGCACATAAATGTAAAAAATGCTGTCCACCGCCAGCTCTAACGGCCGCCGCGGCGGCCGTTACAGCTGTTGACACCGTCTGTACATAGCTCGAAAGATCTTTTCTTGATCGGAGCTCCAATCTAGCAAAGACTGCGTGCAGGGAAGCCTCGACCATTTTGTGCAGGCACTCTAAACATGTGCCTGTGACGGCAGTGCTATCTCTTTTTTGCGTGTTACTTTGATAGAGTTCAGATATAACAAAGAAGCAGATATAGCGAAGTGATTGCCGATTTTCATTGACTTCATTATAACCGGTCTTGACAGTAAAACCTATAACACTTTTTAAATCACTAGGTCCTTCTGATAAGCCAATCATAACCAGCGAGTTGTGAAGATGCTCCATATTTCTTCCAAGATTTTTTTTTACAAACTGATCATGACCAGTCAATTGCAAAGATGCCCCTTACTTCTGACAAGCCGATTGCAACCAGCCAATCGTGAAGAGGTGCCTTATTTCTGACAAGTTTTCTTCTGACAAGCAAAGACATAGATTAATTTTGACAAGTTTTCTTCTGTGACCAGCCCTTAGACGCACCTTACTTCTGACAAATCGATTATGCCCAGCCAATCGTGAAGAATCGCCTCACTTCTAACAAGCTGATCCTTACCAGCCAGTCGTGAAGACGTGCCTTCCTTCTGACAAACTGATAGTGACCAGCCAATCACGAAGATACACCTTGCTTCTGACAAGCTGATACTAGTGATTAACCAAAAGTAAAGATGTGCCTATCGTGATCAGCCAATCGTGAAGATGCGCCTTACTTTCGGTTGGATCCGGGCAACGTTCGCAGGGTGAGTCACCCCAGGCAGCCGACCCCTGCATGCAGCAGCACTGATTTCGCGTTGTGTTGCCAGGTCGGGGGTCGCTGCATTGGCCCCTCTGGTAGCTCCGGAAGCACTGTTTCTGACGGAGGTCTGCAATGGTCGAAGAAGCACACTTGCAAAGTCAGTCCCGGCAGGTTGTGCCTCCGTAAACCCGTCAACCACAGACCTATGCATCCGCGCGCGTCGGCCGACAGCTTGAATCCAGGGGGACAGGAGCAGCGGAAGCCGCCTTCGGTGTTTTCGCAGACACCGCCGAGACAGAGCTGAGATATCGACAGGCACTCGTCCACATCTGCAAATGTGCCGAGTCAGGGGGACGTGCAAGGACGAAGGGACATCTGGGAACAGGGGGGAATGTGCTTCTGTACAAGGAGACTTGTGGGGATAGGGCAACATGTGGCAACAGGCAGACACGTGGGGATGGAGGGGATGGTGAGGACATGTGGGGTCAAAGGACCTGAGGGGACAAGGGACATGACATGTGGAATCAAAGGACCTGAGGGGACAAGGGACATGAGGGGACAGGGGACGTGAGGAAATGGGATATGAGGGGAGAGGGGGACTTTTGCTTCCATATGTGGAGAGAGTGAGACATGTCGTGATGGGGGGACATGTGGGGACGTTCTGGATGGGGTAGCGAGACATGTGGAGACAGGGGGCCATGTGGGGCATCCTGAATAGGACAGGGTGACATGTGGAATGGTTCAGGATGGGACAGGGAGATATGTGGGGACATTCTGAATGGTACAGAGAGATATGTGGGGACAAGGGGCCAATTTGGGAGGTTTTGAATGGGACAGGAAGATGTGTGGGGAAATTCTCTATGGGACAGGAAGACGTGGGAACGGAGGCACGTGGAGAATGGGAGACATGTGGAGACGTTCTAAACAGCATCAGCACGGTAACTTGTCGCCCCACTTATTTATATGTTTCATTGTTCGAACTTCGGAACTCCTGGAAGCCTCAAAGTGGCAGACGACATTCCACCTAGAGAAAGCTTCCTCAGGGCTCTGAAGAAGCCAAGTCTCTGAGCAAAATGTCTGCCACCTGTGAGATTTCCATGAGGTTTCTTCTCAAGTTCTTCCTACCAGCTTTAGCCGCTTCGCACTTTGTTCTGATCCACATGTCTGCTTAATATATTTAATAGTTTTTACTACTAGCCCTGCAGCAGGCTAGCAGACGAATGAAATATGGCTAGTGTGTTTTTCTGCTGGCTAGATTTTTCATCCTTTATGTTTTACCAGAAGTTTGAAGCTCTTTCTATTGGAAGATGAGGGGATCTTCAGTTCTTTTCTTTTGAAGTTTGCATTTTTATTACATATACTTGAGATAAATTTTAGAATGATGCTTTTCTCACCTTACCTCTTAATTCACACTTATTGCTCATGGGCATACCTCCACTTGAGTATTTAACTTGTGTTGGAATTCCAAATGTCTGCTGTCCATGCCATATCAGAGCGTGGGCCAAGTTTTATGGGGGAAAGCTAGTTGGGGTAGAAGCAAGTTTCCTCCACACATAGAGCTGAACCCTTTAAAAAGGGGTGGCGGGTAGCGCCACGTAGACAGTGTTTCACGCGTCGGGAAAGTGACACCATCTAGTGAGTCACTTGGAAACTATCTCTAATGACAAACATTTTGCCACTTTGTGACGACTCACCAACACACTCACGCCCGTCGTGAGACAGTTGGTATCCCTCGGGGCAGCTGCATTCGAAGGAGCCCTCTGAATTGCGACAGGAGCCCTTGTGACAGACTTCTGTTTCACACTCGTTGACGTCTGCAATGTTAAAAGAGAAAACTATTTCGTGAATGTATTTTTTTGCTTGTTTCGCAGATGTCGTCTGCAGAGGGTGCGGAGAAAAAGGCACAGTGCCCAACGGCAGCATTTTTGGATCTATCAGTTGGCAAGCTCTAAGGAAGAGCGGTGCTCGAAAACTGTTTTTTCCCTCTTGCCTGCGCTTGAGCGAGTGCAGAAGCCGGAAGGCGATGCCTCCATGGGCAAGAGAGTAGGACTATTTTCGAACGACACTCTTTTTGTGCAAACTTTATGTTTACTATAAAGACGCTGTCCACAGCAGGCAACGTACAGCCAATGTTCCACCGGTTTGGCTACCTCTGTCCATTAAGCGGGCCAGGCGTTCTAGGAAGTTTGTCAGCCAACTTTGATCTAGTAACGGTGCCCGATGGCACCTGTGCTCTCTCTTCAGTCCAATGGAGCAAAAATAAAGATATTGCAAAGCTAGTCCTCATACACAGACAATGTGTAGGAAGCTTGTCGTTTACATGTCTTGTCAATGACAAGCTTAATTAACATGAAGCTTGTCATTAAACTGGACCAAAGTCAGCCTGACTTTGGTCTACCGTAAAATACCGCGCAAGCGCCCACTCAAAATTTTGAGATAATCATGGAAAAATGGGGGATGGGCGCTTGTCCGGTCATCAGTTCTACATATCAATGTACCGTGCATATTTTCTCAGATTTTACAAATTTGGGTATGGGTGCTTAATGTGGTATGGGCAGATGCACGGTATTTTACGGTAGTAACGTTGCCCGACAGTGCCTGTGCTCTCTCCAGTTCACTGATCTCTATGACAATTGCTGGATCGCATATCCCCGCTTGTTCGCTGCAGCACGGGTGCGGCCACTGGACGGCCATCTTGCATGCAGATTTTTTAAATTTTGCTAGCGTTGCAGAGACTGGTGGCAGCATGCTAAAGACACGTTTTCTACTCATTCATCGTCATTCGCCGAAGAAGTATTTTTTAAAACCCTATGAAAGCAATGAGACTTGCCGTTGAGAATATGTGGAAATTTTTATTAAAGCGCAGTGCCGCAGGAAAAAGCCAGAACTCGTCGAAAGCAAGTTTCGCTGGTCTCGCGGGACGATCAAAGCTTCCTTGGCACACCGAAATGCTGCGTCTGTGTGCTTTCGCACGCTTGGATACCGATCAAGAATTGACGCCATGTGGACGTGTTTTGCGAGTGCAGTGTGCGTGAAGCCTTATGTGCCTCTGAATCAGTGTATTACTTTACTCTAACGACTGTATTTGTAACTTGCGGCACTCGCGGTCCAGAAACGAGCTTCATCCAGCGTCCAGTAGCAACGGAAGAGAGGGAGAAGGTACGTCTGTTTTTCGTCGTTAGACGATTTACAGAATACTGCGCACAACAGCTCCTCATCACCGATCAGTGCTGGCTCATTATGAACCTACTTAATTGCACTTGACGTTCGAGCGCAACTCGCCTAATTGTGATTGGTCAACAGATTGCACGCAACCATATGGGGTTTGCGCTTCAAAGATTTTCATTCTCGCCGTCTTGTACTTTTGCCTTCGAAAACCCTCCTTGCTCCACAGCGTTTCTCTATTCGTGCTCCCATGTGATCCATTAGAGTAGATTTGGAACATAGCCATGAATAATAGTGCATAAGAGCACATACAAATTCCCCCCCTTTATTGATAGCAACTCACGGGAACAGCTGAATGATCCAGAACTCCGTGGTTGATATATTTATGATTAAAGACATCTATGCGCGACACACCTTCAAAACTTTAGCGCGCCATCGATTCTTGATCGGTATCCAATCGTGCGAAGGCACAGAGACACAGCACTTTGGCGTGCCAAAGATGCTTTGAACACTATGCTTGCTTTCAATAAGTTGTGCCTTTTTCCTTTGGCACTGCGCTTTCGTAAAAATTTCCACGTGTTCTCAACGGCAAGTCTCACGGCTTTCACAGGGTTTTAAAATTTTCTTCGGCGAATGACGACGAACGAGTAGAAAACGTGTCTTTAGCACGCTGCTTCCGGCCTCTGCAACGCTAGCAATACGAAAAAATTATGCATGCAAGATGGCCGTCCAGTGGGCGCAGTCACGGAGCGGTGATGCGCGATCCAGCAAGTGTCATAGAGATCAGTGCTCCAGTTCAACGGCGCAAAAATAAAGATATTGCAAAGCTAGTCACCATACACAGGAAATGATAGTCCAGGCTTTGTCACATCCTAAAAACGAATAAAACATTTGCATGCACCGCCAACAAGAACTTGAGATATGATTCTCATTGAATGATTATCTATGAAAAAAGAAGTATACAAGCGACTCAACATTTAATATTTTAAATAGACAAAAAACTCCCCCAAAAAATTAATTTTTTTCATTGCTCAGATAGAACACATACATAATAAAACAAAACTTCCCAGAAAAAAAAAAAAAAATTTTTAGTGCAATAGTTATGTTAAAAAACTCATTTTTAGTTTTTTTTTTTTTTTTCACTAAATAATTTTGTTACATACATATCCTAGCTAGGAACTTTGAAAAAAAATTGTTGGGGAGTACATCATTTTTTTTAAACACCCCTATTAAAGGTCTTCCCCCCCCCCCCCCCCCCCCCCCTAAACATTTGCATACTTTTCTAAAAATCTAAGACGTCTGGTGGAATTTGTGATTCACTGGCTTATAGGTTCGTAATCATTCGCAACATTCAATACCAGTGCTTTCCGTTCTCACCTACGCAGCTCCGACCGTCGGGGCTGAGCTGGTAGCCAGCCTGACAGTGGCACTGGAAGCTGCCAATGGTGTTGCGGCACCTGCCGTTGTGGCAGATCCTATACTGAGTTCGGCATTCGTCCACATCTGCAGAACAAAAAGGCACAGCTGTTGCGGTTATTTCGTCAAATTACGAGCCACAACACTTTTATAAAGTAAGCTGTGTACAGAAGGGTACCCCTCTAGTAAAGCCCACTTCCTGAAAAAAATAAAATACAAAGTATTCAATATACTATGTGGTTTTCTTTTACTACTACATCGAAATGTCAGAAGATGAGCTACTATATAGTAAACTTGCTTGAGAGATTTTTCCCTTTAAAAAAGGGCTGCTTACAGTGGTATTGGTACTTGATATATTACCCATATACTGAGTTACATGTAGTAGATTTAATACAAAAACAACTTGACTTCTCTATGGAAAAGTTATTTACTGCATATCAGCAATCAGAATAAGCGGACATAATAAGATCCTGTTGTATTGGAACAAACCATCGCAAGAGGGTTTTGAACATGTTTGACCAGAGTCTAACATGTTTGAGCAATCTCAACTGCCATCAGTCGAGATTGTTTTGTAAAATTTCTTTCCTTTTTTGAATCTCTCGTGTGCATTTTCTATGCATGCTGTGGTTTGCTTAACATTATGCACGAGCGAGGAACTGAAGCTACAAGCACTAGCATGTGGCCCTGACCGACGCATACGCCGCGTGAACGCATGGGTTTGGCAGGAGTGCTGAAAGCTTGGAGTTAGGTTTTGTAGCTTCCGCTACGCTCACACTTGAAGCAAAGAGGAGCATGGTACAAGCTTACTTCACGAAATGAGATGTCGTGGGTCAGTTACTTAAAGGGGCACTGACACATCAAAATCATACTTTTTTTTATTATCCGAAACGATTGAAAACGATGTCGGGACATTGCCCTCAAATTTCGAAACTTGGGAATTCAGTATTTCTTAATTAAAAAAACAATTTCCAAATGCCAAATTTGAAGTTCCCGCCTGATCTGCGCCAGTGCAGTGAGTCAAATTTTGCGGTCTCCTGCGACTCGACTTTCTTTGGGACCTCCGCCGTTGCCACAGCAACCCGAGGAGAGGAGGAGGTGAGCAGGCGGGATAGAAGCCGGCGCGGAAAAAAAAACGGTTTCTACCCCGTCCAAAGCCGTACTGTCCCCGTCTGGCTGTTAGCGCCGCCAAGTTTTCTGAGGGAGGATACAAATCCAGGAAGCGACATCACACCGAAATCTGATTTTTGGTATTTCAAAAAGAGGGGCCGTAGTGTGTTCGCAATTGCGTTAAAAAACATGTTTTACGATTGCTGTTATTAAATGTTATAGAAATGTCGCCTACAAACCTTCTAAATTTCCTGATTTTTGACGTCACCAATCAAAAGAAGCAAGGAGGTTAGCGCGGGAAATATAAACGCCAAAAATAAAAAGGCGTGCGCGCGCTCGAAGAAATTTTTTTTCGCGATGCGTTTTTTTTTTGCGTGTCTATGACTACAACTTGCATCGTTTTAGACAATAAAAAATAATACGACCTTTGGGGTGTCAGTGCCCCTTTAAAGACCGACGACCAGTTCACACTTTCCACTTCTCCCCCGCTTCCTCCTCTCCCCTGTTCACTGTTGCCTATTTCCTCCTCCCCCATGGTGAGGAGTATCTTCTGCCATGCAGAATCTCGAGTCTGGTTGTCAGCCTTTAGGGCTGCATCCAGGGAACGGCAGATTGTTACACTTTCGAACAATGTGCTCTCTCTTTCTTGCATGGTTAAAAGTGGTGGTGCCAGTGTGAAAATAGCCCTTGGACACTTTCGGTCCCAGACTAAACGGCAGGTTTCGCGGAATTTGCGAAATCAAATCTGTGTGTGTCATCTTCCGAGAAGTCATCGCTTATAGTATTGTCGGACATAATCCACTGTTAGGGTAGAAGAACGACGTGCAAAGTCAGGAAATATAAGCAGACCGAAAGTGTGACCGGGTATGTGACACCACCGAGCTTGTTGCCAAATAGGAAAGGGCGAAAACCGGAACGCTTTTCAAAGAACACGTCACTCACCATAACAGTCGTTGTCGGGTGACAGTTGGAAGCCAGGGTTGCAGACGCAGCGGTACGACCCGGGCACATTCTCGCACATTCCGTTGGAGCATATTCCGGGACTACGTGCGCACTCGTCGAAGTCTGTGCAGTTCCGTGCGTCAAAAGTAGCTCACATGACCACATGACCACACTCAGATTTGGTTGTTGCCCTCTCAACTTTCGGAAATGATACTACTAAGGTATCTAGCTCCACCAGCTCTTTCTTGCTCTTTTCGTGTCACCTATGTAACTAATACATCAGCAATGTCGCTGTTGCGAAGGGCACGTTGAGACATGATAGTGTACTACAGTTTAGGCTTAGTGCTGTTCGTGGATACATCGGTATAAAGATAATTATGATTATTACTATTACATTACATTTGCAACATTCCTGCTAGATCTTAAGTGCCAAGACAACAACAGATGTGTCTATCCAAACCGTGTATGTAGTACAAGCTCAACTGCAAACACATGTAAATAATGATAGTAATAAGAACATCAATAGCATTTATTACTTGCAAAGAAACATAAACAGAGTCAGATCTACCAAAGGCACATTGGGCTTGATTGGCACCACCTGGGTTGCATTCTCTTTCGCATTATCTTTACTGTACAATATTTCAAACTTTTAATGTGCAAACATAGTTTGCACATTAAAGTAAAAAGTAAAAAGTAACAACACCTACAATTCTGAGTCATCAAACTTGTTTCCTGAAAGATCGATAAAAAGCAAGCTGGCGGCCGCCAATCATTGCTACCGCCAGACAAACAGTAGCTGGTGGGGAGTCTGAACACGGTATGCTACCTGTGGTAGTTACTGTAGCTACTAAATTAACTATAGAGTATCAACACTCCTCCCTGCGACCGTTTTGTCGGTGCCGCCAATTCGTTGCCCAGAGCGGAGGGGGCGCAGCTGGTGATAGTTGTGATTCGAAAATGAGACTTTCTGACCTTTACACATGGTGTCAGGCACCTCTGGCAACATCGTTTTGCTCTGTTGTGGACTGTTTTGACATTCTTGGAGGACAGAAAGGCATCTCCAGCAATGTTGGGTCGATCTCCAGATAACTGGTGACAATGATACTAGACATTAATACGACTGAGGTGTCGTTACTTTTTAGCATAGGTTATTTTGGGGCTCAAGTACCGACCATGTGCAAGCGTCTAGCATACTTCTGGTGTTTACATAGGGAAATGTCTTTTTGAGGAACCGCTGCAGCTTACCGATGCACGTATCTCCAGCAGGAGTTGAGTAGTAGCCGGGATTGCAGGTACACTGGAACCCTCCGTCCAAGTTGATGCAGACGCCGTTCTGGCAGATGTGCGGCTGTTTGCACTCGTCCACATCTAAGGTTGGAAGTGTAAGCCATCTGTGAGAGTGTGGCCACCCACTGTGCTCAAAGGGATCGTGCTAGATACTAAAGTACCCATTAAAAAACAAAGTTCTATTTCTAAGCTTTAACATCTTATGCCCCATTAAAACTTACATCATTCATTTTAAACAAGCCTCATCACAAGAGGAATGCGAGACCAAGTAGTTAAAATAGCATTATATACTTCGTAACAAGAAGTTCAGAAGTTCAGAATCAGTAATGAAAAAAGTCATACTTATCAACTTTTATAGGAGAATATCCGTCAACAGACCTTGTGCAAAGCGAGCAAGCAGCATTGTCACCAGCACCAAAAGGAATGCTGGGAAGGGCCTGTACTGATTATACTGCTTTGATAACTTCTGTAGCTTGCTGTTACCTCTGCACCATTATTTTTCTAATGCTCAAGTATAAAATAAAATATAGAGAACACAACACCAGTGCTTGGTGTGTCTGTTTCTTTACTTGCTCATCCTTTATTAGCACTGTTTATTAGAACTTTAACTTCAAAATAATAATAATGCGAGCACTCAAAATTGGATGACCGTTTGAAAAAGAGGTTTGATACCATCACATCCACGATGACTGGAGGAAGACTCGTAGCCATCAGGGCAGCGACATTCGTAACTTCCACGTTCGTTGACGCACTTCGCCGTGCCGCTGCAGATGCCGGGGTTCTCCTGGCATTCGTTGATGTCTGAATTACAGTATCGTGCAAAATGAGTGTTACATTGGGAATACAGTATCTACAGTATACAGAATACAGTATCCCACCAAATGCGTGAAGGTATTCAACAATGGTATCGATTTGAATGTTGGGTAGTCTGCTATAAGCAAACTTACCTTTAAATGAGACAAGCTTCATTTACCGTGGAAAGATGTTTTCTTGTTGACAAAGTCGGAAGGAACAATTCTGCACTACATATTCGTTACTAGCTTTCACCAAATCTTGTTTAACAGTTTGCTGCCCAAAAGTGCCAGATATGTTTAGCCACCGGTAAAATTTCTCATAAAACACCAAACACATGCCAAACCATAAATTAAAGTTCGAGCCCCACCCCTGCCCGTTTCGATCTGGATGAGCATCGTACCGGCGTGCGGTCGTGTATCACTACTGCGTGGTGCACGTTAAAGACCCCAGGCTAGCGGTTGTACTGCACTGGCTAAATTGCTCATCTACAGCGTGTGACTCGTCGCAACTTTAATGGCAGACCAACTACACGCTGTATAAATATCCCCACAACCCCCATAAATTAAATGTGAATATGAATATATGTTGGGGTGAGTGCTGCACACTTTATATTCTCTAGCCGATTCTGAAGTTTACAAAAGACGTAGGGCCCGTGCTCAAGCGTAAGCTCGTGCTTAACATTTCAGTCGAAAAAAAAAGATTTTCCAAAGACCTTTGTACATAAAATTTCAGAAACATTGTCAATTTCTTTTTCTACCCAAAAGCAACTTTGATGCAAATTATACTGATGCATTTATTTAGAGCCATGTGACAGTATTCAAAGGAAGTGTAGTTTTTGTTTGATATACTTAAAAATAATGAAATTCAGCCATAAAAAATTCCCCCTTCCCGCTTCCCCTTCTCTTCCCTCCTCCTCCTCCTCCTCCTCCTCCTCCTCCTCCTCCTCCTCCTCCCTCCCTCCCTCCCCCCCCCCCCCCCCCCCCCCCCCCCCCCCACAGGGATTTTGCAGATCTTGATTTCCCATGGTTGGCTTATATCAAATGTTCTCATACTATCATTTTCCAATTTTTGTTTTTCAAGCCATTGACTAGATGAGAAGGGCAGGAGTCCCTGCCACGCTCATCCGGTCAGTGGCTGTAGCACAGTTCACTCGCCAAATGTTCTCTTCCTTCGACACAAACGACTTCGACGAGCCCTACGTCGTTCCCTTACCTTCGCACGTCATCAGGTTTGGGTCGTAGCGGAATCCGTCGTAGCACTGGCAGACGAAACTGCCGATGGTATTGGTACATTGACCTTCTTGGCAGACCATGCCTTGGCACTCGTCCACATCTGAAAAGTCAATCGGACGGCGTCGACCTCACCTCGTTTGTCGTAGCTACTCTAGTGAAGGCTGGATCGCGCATTTGCAATCAAGTGTGATCAGCCGCGTCACAACGGCTCGTATCTGCCTACGACGAGACTATGCTGGTGCCACCTGTCGGGCGACCCCAAAAACATTTCCGACATGCGCATAAATATTTCTCGTCTTTTTTCAAACGATTTTGACAATGTTATAAGCGACTATTTCCGATAGAAGGGGGCTATAGACTTGATTTCACGAATACTGCAAAACCTTCAGTCTAGTTAGACGCAGCTCCAAGGTTGCCTGATGGATGGCGTCAGTGTGTCGGTGTCATTCTCTCATCTTAAGAGAGAACATTTGCAAATTTGCACTCAAATGCGAACATATGAATCGGCCTTAAGGGTGACATGACTTACCATCAATGACGTGTGTAATGGGGTTCATGATGGTGCCCAGGGGGGTGCTGCTGCAGAGAGCCTTGTATTGGGCTGGAATCAGAGAGTTAAGACGCTTAGAGACAGATAATGAGGCAGTTTATTTTTTACACTGCAACAAAAGGGGCGGGGCAGAACTGTGACACTCCTTTGAAGAGTGTTTGTCACAATTTTTTTTATGTTTTTGTTATAGGGCAATCTACTCAAACACATGAGGTGGAGCGGCGGACATAGTAGTAGTCTGTCATGAAGGAGCCCAAAGAAGCCCACCACGAGGAGAAGCCAGAGCTCTACATCCGATACGTCGTCTTCTAACCACGGTATGCAACAGTGAATAAATGTATGACCTGTGGTACCCTTTCTGGGAATTGTAGTTAAAGTAACTGAAAAACATGGATAAATATCTGTCGGTGTCAAAAGTACCAGATCGGTTAAAACTGACCAATGCCGGTTTCTGGAAATTCGCACACTAAGCAAAGACCATTTTAATGCAAAAGCATTAACTGTACCACGAAGCGGAGCCGGCGGCATCTGTAACTGCGAAAAAACGGCTCCTAAAAACCTGGAACTGCAAAAAACGGTACCTAAATTGGCTGTGACTCATCACATGAGATGCTTTGTCACTGAAGCCGGCACGGCCACTCAAGGTCAAAGCTGACGTGCCTCGGAAATTAAATGCAAAGGAAAGCACAGCAATGCAATGCTTCGTCACGGAAGCCGTCGTGAAGCCGACAGGGTTTGCCGCGCCTGCGCAGTGGGGGAGTGTGATGTCACCGCCGCAGCGCTGTGTGCGATAGGAAGGCATGGCGTGCTGCTTGTAGGAATGCACTGCGTGTAGGAATGCTTTCGCATTCCTACACGTAAGCAGTCTTAAGTGGCTCTGCTGAATGTTTTGTCCAAACCCTCCCTTCTTAGATGTTTATCAGGCAGACACTCTTACCTAGGATCGAGCACCCTGCCAATCAGTGAGATCACTAACGTCGGAGGATGGCGACACAAGAATTAAGAGGGTCAGTTGGTCATTACGGACCGTCACAACTTTTTTGTTTTATTCGGCCCAGAGCTGGGCGGCAGTGTTCGAAACTACGCTGACGCTCGTTGTCGGTTGAATCTAGTAAAAGAAGTAAGAGCAACTTTCCTTCCTTGTGGTGGAAATATTTGGCTAGAGAGCACTTAGATTTTTTTCATTGCGAGAGCTGAAGGGTAGCAGCATGGAAAGAGAACATAAAGCTATGAATGATTATGTTAAAGGGTGCCCAAACTTTGGCCTACGTTCGGACTCATTGTCCGTGATTTGCAAATACTGTCGCATTATGATAATTGTGGAGTGTTATGAGGGCATCTACAAGTCGCAAAACAAATTTGGACTGCTAGTTTCTTGCGAGCTTTTCACCGATGATCTCTCTTTCTAGCGTATGCACAAAAGTAATTGCTGATATGGTAG